ACCGAGTGCTTGGGAGAAAAGCGAACCAAGTTTTTCGACCCGCGTATTAAACTATACGCGTCGCAGGAAGCGTTGCACTAGCGGTGGTCATAGAACGCGAAAGTTTGAGAAATATGACGTCGCCAGCGTGAATCATGAAATAAAAAAGAAAGACGAAATTTTTGCACAATCCGGCGTTTACCTAAACTTGATATTGTCACGGGTGGTGACCAAAAATAACAAATAAACAGGAAGAAATAAACGTTTAATGTGGCGAACTTGTGCCAAAAATAAAAGAGTACAAAAGATAATAATAGAGCGTCGCGGGCGTCGAAGTCGGCGTGGCAGCAGAGTCGAACGCTGGGGCGAGACTGACTCCACTCGCCTTGCGGAATCCCTTATGTACCCTCATGGGTTTCTGGATCGTTCGGCGCGTGGAACATCCTAACCTCGAATCAGCAAGACGTTTCTCGAATTCACCAGAACCTTACATTAGTGAGTTTTAGTAAACCGTGTTTCCCGCTCCGCTAAGCCCCTCCGCTACCCGGAACTCTACAGCCAAGGCCATCGGCGCGCAGGCGCAGTGGCGATTCCGCGCTCCGCTCTGCAGAGCGGCTGGACGAAAACGATCTACTAAAACTCCCTATTACAGTGTCAACAAAAATGCGCCTCCGCGGCCAGGAATCGAACCCTGGCTTTCAGCGTGGGAAGCAAGCGCGATAACCGTTAGGCCACGCGCGCGCTGCCTGCTTGGCCAGCTGCGCGCGCGGCATTACTCCCGCCTTTAAAAAGTGCATCGTCCCGATGCAATCCGAAAACAAAACAAATAAAAATAACGGTAAACTAAAGAGTCATTTGGAACACATAATGTCCACAGTCCTATCGAGCGTAGTACGGCTTCAGTCGCACGACGTGGACGACTTCCGGACGTGGAGGGCGGCGTGACGAAGTCCGTGTTCCGTCGGGCATCACTTCGTAGTTCAGATCCCCGAGTCGACGAAGCACTTTGTAGAGTCCAAAGTATCGTTTCAGCAATTTCTCACTGAGGCCGCGGCGACGGATGGGTGTCCATACCCACACCCTATCTCCGGGCTGGAAGTGGACGTCCCTGCGACGAAGGTTGTAGCGGCCGGCGTCGACGCGTTGCTGGTCTTGAATCAGGAGTCGGGCGAGCTGGCGAACTTCTTCGGCGCGTTGAGCAACCGCCTGGGCGTCGTCGCTCTCGTTGTCAGATGGCTCATGGGGCAGCATGGCGTCCAGCATGGTCGTTACCTTCCGACCATGTACCAGCTGGAAAGGGGTGAATCCAGTGGTCTCTTGAACCGCCGTATTGTAGGCGAACGTGACGAAGGGCAGCACCTCGTCCCACGTCTTGTGCTCTACGTCGACGTACATAGACATCATATCGGCGATTGTCTTGTTGAGTCGCTCCGTCAGCCCGTTGGTCTGCGGGTGGTACGCAGTTGTACGACGATGGCTGGTGTGACTGAGTCGGAAGATTTCTTGGGTCAGTTGTGCCATGAACGATGATCCGCGATCTGTAATCAGAACTTCTGGAGCGCCGTGCCGGAGGACGATGAACTCAATGCAAAACTTGGCAACTTCCACAGCAGTCCCCGAAGGAAGAGCTTTCGTTTCGGCGTACCGCGTGAGATAATCTGTGGCGACGATGATCCAGCGGTTCCCCGACGTCGAAGGCGGAAAAGGACCAAGTAGATCCATTCCGATCTGCTCAAAGGGTGCAGTTGGAGGAGAAATAGGCTGCAGGAGTCCGGCCGGCCTCGTCGGAGGTTTCTTGCGTCGCTGGCACTCGTGGCATGATCGCGTGTACAGGTGGACGGTCTTGGGGAGCTTGGGCCAGTAATACTTTTCACGAATACGGGCCAGTGTCCGGCTGTATCCAAGGTGTCCAGACGTCGGGTCGTCGTGACATGCTTGAAAGATCTCTCCTCGAAGGTCGATCGGGATTACCAGCAGCCACGGTGAGTTGTTGTCCCCGAAGTTCTCTTTGTGGAGTACACCTTGTCGAATGGCGAAGGTCGGCACGGCTCGTGAGAAAACACGGGGTACGGTACCGCCGCGCCCTTCCAGGTGCTCGATTAAGGCTCGCAGCTCCGGATCGTCTCGTTGACGTCGTGCCATGTCATCGGTGTTCACTGCCCCTAGAAAGCACTCGTCATCATCGTCGTCGTTGTCAACAAAAATGCGCCTCCGCGGCCAGGAATCGAACCCTGGCTTTCAGCGTGGGAAGCAAGCGCGATAACCGTTAGGCCACGCGCGCACTGCCTGCTTGGCCAGCTGCGCGCGCGGCAATATTGTCAAAAGAAATATGCTGCATTTGTATCAGAGAAAAATAAGTCACTTGCCAGCATGAAAGAGAAAATTGCTTTCTTTCCCGCTGATAAGCGGCCTTCGCCGAAGAAATAAATGCCACATGCGCCCACAATTCGATTTCTTGTTTTGACGATTTGAAGCTTAGGTGGACATCATCTCATAGAAACATTTCAACTTTATCTTTTATTTTTTGAAAATGGTAACGTCATTTTTTCGAAGTTTTGCGTTTTATCATAACCGCTAGCGTAACATCCTCACGGAGTTTCAGCTTTCTGCAATGCTCATCTACGCCATATAAAAAAAAAAAAATATTATAGATGGATTTGTGAATCGCTTCCGCAATTTAAATGTTTATCTTCTTTTCATTTTTTACACCTTGTGAAATCTAGGGATGGCCAGCTATCCATCAGAAAAACAAGAATAATTAACCGTAGGCACAAATATAAAATCAACAGTTAAAAATAGAAGTAGAGAAGGTGGCATCAAGTCAATGTGTTACGTTGTGATTAAAGATAAACTAAAGATAAATTAAATATAAAGATAAATTAAAGATAAATTAAATATAAAGATAAATTAAAGATGTAACTCGCGTGCTTCCTGCGTACTAGTACTTGATCCGATCAATTCCCAATCGTGTCGCATCCAATAGAGGAAAAGTTGTTTACGCCAAGAGTTAACAAATTTATTAAAAATTCGACGTTAAATTGTAAAAAAAAAAAAAGAGAATAACGACTGGACAAAAAGAAAATAAATAGTGTAATGTGAACGCTTAGAGTGGAAGAGGTCCTTCTGTCCCCGAGAAATGGCAACACAGGTTCAATGCCTATGGTCTAGGTGGCGCAAGCTACCGCCCGTTATAAGGAATACAGCCATTAGCATCCATCCAGCCAACTTGGTATAATAAAAAATTTTGATTTTTAACAAATATCGTTTATGTGCAAAATATATTAGAGCAAAAAAATCTACCCCAGGGTCACCTCGAAAACCTAGCGAACCTAAAACAAAAAGTATATACATATTCAACACGAACTGAGGGACACTGAGAAGTACCCTTTTCAATAACTAATTACGTAAAGATATATATATCAGCAGTACATCGGTGAGCATTCTACGGGAATTTTTATTTGAAACCTTATTATTAACAATGAGCGCTGATTGTGTTGAGCTTAGTTAGAATGCACTGTATGTCTTAAGGGTGTGTGTGTTGATTCAATGAGTTATTGGTTTGTAAAACGCTTCTTTTTTTGTGTGTGATAATTTTTCCCTCGTGTTATGAATACGTAAACTTTTATTGTATAATTCCTTTGGCGCTTGCTTTGCTATTGCTTGTTTGGGGTGGCTAGGGGCCAACCAAGCTGTTTTTACAGCTTTTATCCCTAGTCACGTTTCAACTTTTTGTCGGAAAAATAAAGGAATTATTATTATTATTGTCCACCCGGAGTAATTTGTCTGACAGTGCAGCGAGACTTCTGTACTGTCACTGACAGCGTAAAAAGCGCAGGGCGTGACTTATTATGTTCATAATCCATCTTGCTCTCTGATTGGTTCTTTGGTGCTCATATCAGCTAATGCAGCAATCTGATTGGCAGTAAAACGTTTTTTTCGTGTCTTTTTTTTTCACATGTTAGTGACTTTTAACTTGGGGTTTTAACATACATTGCACAGTAGTGACAACACGGCTCCACACCACGGTACGACGCGCATACAGACCAGAATGGGAAGCAGGGGTGGAGATCTAACCCAGGGATAGTCGTCAGGCTCTGCTGCGTAAGTTATCAACCGAGTGCTGCGAAGAGCTGCGGTCTAGTATACCGCACTTGGCAAAAACCCTAGAAAAAAAAAAAAAAGACAAGCGCCCGTATGTTTTTTTGTTTTTTTTTCAGGAGCGTATGATCGGTTGGATGAGATGTTTCGAAACCCTTTATGGGGTCCCAAATAGCCCACCTGTTTGATATTATAAATATCATCCTTCACTTCTGCCGTGTTCTGCCTGCCTTATCTTTAAATCTAAGCGGCCTGCAATCACTGGCTGTGCTTCTTTCAATAAATTCTGAAGTCCTGCCCATACAATAGCCCATTCCCAAAATGTATTGCCCTATTTCGAGCATTCTCCTCTCACCTAATGCCACCGTCGAGAATTTCGGCCTTAGACGTCTTTGCAGCCTCGCTTACAGGAGATCGACTGCAAGATGTAGAATTTCCTGCAAAGCTTGTCGACTTTCGAGAAAATATAGGGCACCTGAGCGTAACGTGAAACATACAATTATTTGGTTCGATCGAAGCACGCGTCCGCCACAACTCGAAGTGCGTCGACTTGATCGTATCAGATACTATCAAGCAAACGCTTTTCTTGCAGTAATTTCACCCCAGTTTCGCTTTGTACCGAGATAATTTTGTGTAAATCAGACCGTGTTATGCATTCTACAGGCCTCTCTACAAGCCGTATGCTGGGATGTCTAGAACAATTTTCTGCTAAAACCGGACGCCGTGTCTTAAACCTTCGAGCTCCATAAATTTATTAACTACAACTATTTTGGACCTCGTCATGAAATTATCTATGCCAATTGAAATGCTCGACACAAGAGAAAAGCTAACCTAATACTTTTCTTTTTTAAGTAAAAACGAAAGACTGCGGTTGTAACTGAATACTAGATGTCATGTCTTGTGTCTAAGAAAACATTCTCATCATGCGCCTTCCGCGTCCTCTGCAGGAACCCAGTCCCATCAAGTCGCCAGGGCATTTTATATCGACGACCCACGGAATCTTGTCTAACGGTCACTCCTACAGCAACGACACCGCGGACCACAACGGGACGGGTCATCACAAAGGCTTCGCGGGCCATAACGGCAGCACCAACTACAATGGCGTCAGCTCCCCTGTGGCCATGGACAAACAAAACGGCTCCGCGGGCCAGAACGGCACGGGCCACCACAATGGCGTCAGCACCCTGGTAGCTGTGGACGAACACACCGATCGTTCTTCGGGCGTGCTCTACCAGGTCAACGATACGCCACCCTGGTACCTTTGCCTTCTGCTCGGCTTCCAGGTAAGAGGCTTGGCCACTGATGGTCGCATATAGCTCCAGGACAGTGAACATGCAGGAGACGCCTCGGTCGGCTGCCAGTCAGGACGGCTGAAGGCCAAAAAATGACAACTTTTGGGCAGGACATATGCCATCAAACGAGTGGATACGAGCGCAGGGTCACAGTTAGATGGGGCACTCTGACGTTGGAGCACAAGATTGGGTCTATTGCGGACGCGGGCCGCCTTAGAGTTGCGTAAACTCAGCGTAAGATGGCGCTGCCTGGCAAATTAAACTACATTTTCCGGATGGTTTGGCGACCAACATATGCGGCTCAGCCGTCAAAACACTTCATCTTAAATTTGTCCGCATGATATCTTACTGTCTTGTAAATGTCCTGCGAGCACGTACAAGATTACCTGTTCAGTTTAAATCGCCCATGCTGTGGCGGAAACCTTCATTCAGTTTCCGTGGCATCATAGCTGCAATACAGATGGCCTGCTTGAGAAAGCGCAGTCATAATTTGCCCTCTTCTCTAATGCAAACGACGTCACTTAGGTAGCACCTAATTATTACTATGACCTTTTTTAAGACGCATTCAGTCGGGAAGAGCTAGATCGTTTTTTTCGTGCGTGCGTGTGTGTGTATGTGTTTCTGTTTTGTGTGCATCTGCTGTCTTTGGAACATTACAGGCCAGCCTCCCCCTATTTGCCGAATTAACACCATGATTTACCCATGATACTGAAATATGCCAATGAAGGCCTCCAGAACAACAGTCACTGAGGAAAACGAAAAACAAAAGAACTTATTACGCCAGATAGACATGAAGTCCAGAAAGTCAAACCATCTAACGAGTCAAAATATCCGCTTCTTGGCTCGTTGAGTCTCTTAATTCATTAAAGTTTTTACTCAGCATTGGCCTCATGAAGACACGTCATATACCTGAATCGCCCTTGGTTTTTCCTTATTTTTCCATGCAAATCTGCCCAAACTGGTTTGACAAACAGTATAACCGGATGCATCCATGCAATTCTCAAACATCAATGAGCCGTACCTAATGCGTACAACCGCGATACCCCTCGAAACTCGCCCACCCAACAATCAAGTGCGGTGTCCTTAAACCAAAGTCAACTTTCCAAAAAAATGTATGATTACCTGAACTGGAATGCAAAAACACGCAATTCAGAACTCGAAACCTATTGTCGTGCATCGCCTGTCTTTTACAAAAAATATAAAAAAAATAAAAAAAAAAATTTTTAGGGGGGTATTGATTATCTAATTTATCGTTCTTATCTGAAGGTGAGCTTGCGTCAGACAGACCGAATCTACTGACAAGTTAACTTTTCACTCGCCACGGTAGACCTTTTGACTCGTTCAATCTTTTGACTCCATGGATATCTTTGACTCGCTGGTCCACCAGACCCATACGGATCCATTGTAGCGCTAGATCTCTCGACTCGCTGGATCTTTTGACTTAGAAATTTGAGTCAAGTTCTCGAACGAGTCAAGAAATCTAAAAAGTCAAAAGCTTCACTATTAGACTTCTCAACTCACTATGGATGTCTTGACTGGCTGTACCTCTTGAACCACAATGAATCTCTTCACTAATGCTCCAACGAGGCAAGAGGCCCAAAGAGTCGGAACATGTCTTGTTTCACTGACACTTAAAATAACTTCAGAACGAACTTCTTTAAAGAACCGGCGAATCAGCTCACGATCTCGACAATTTTGTTGCACGGGCAACGTAAAAGTACTCTCGCGTTACTTGGCAGACTCGGATTTCGATAGACCGCCTACATCAATGCATGGTGCACCAGAAATTACGAGTCAACACACCCCAAACCGGCCATTCTCCGCCTCTTGCAGCACTACCTGACCATGATGGGCGGCGTGGTGAGCTACCCGTTCCTGCTGGCGCCCAAGCTGTGCCTGTCCGACGACGACCCGGACAGGGCCCAGATCCTGTCCACAATCCTCTTCGTGTCCGGCATCGGCACGCTGCTCCAGGCCACTTTCGGCGTGCGCCTGCCCGTCATCCAGGGCTCTACCTTCGCCCACCTGGTGCCCATCCTGGCCGTGCTCTCGCAGCCCCAGTGGCAGTGCCCCAGCCAGGAGCAGCTGCGCGACCTGCCCACCGACGCCCCAGAGCGCGACTGGAAGCCTCGCATGTGCGAGGTGAGCCATGGTCTCCGGTATACACTTGTTACAGGGTGCTTGCACGAGACCACGATGCAACACTGCTTCCGGCTCGAAGGTGACCGAGTGTGTTAAGGCTACACCACCTAGAAGAGGTGGTCTGCGCATGACGTCATCGTAGGTGGACCCCAACCCGCTGCCTTAAACATACACACAACGCAGTTACGAAAACCCGTATGTCACTATCCTGCCCAACTTTTCCAATGCCCCCCCCCCCCCCCCCCCCCGTCGACTATTGTCATACTCAAATGGATGCCTCGCTGTACCCAGATCCAGGGCGCCATCATGGTTGCCTCGGCGTTCGAGGTGGTCGCGGGATTGACGGGTCTGGTGGGCCTGCTCACGCGCTGGATCACCCCGCTGGGCATCACGCCCACCATTGCGCTCATCGGACTCTCACTCTTCCCCGAGGCCTCTCAACACGCGCAGGGCAGCTGGCCCGTCGCCCTCGGGTGAGTGAACTCAGCGGCTTAGTGGAAACACTAAGCTCGTGGGGACAACAGCAGCGTAAAATATTTGTTTCTGATTCTGACGCAGCGCTTGGACGTCCTATCAGTGAAGCATCAATTGAACAGAAGTGCCAGCAGAATGCTGACGAAGCACTCGTGTTCTGTCCATGTTCCTCCCTCGGTCGAGGAAAAAAAAAAAAAAAGAATCCGCTTTACAGGCCCTGTGTTCGGTAAACACTGAACGTTGTTGTCGATCTCCTAGCCAATGCAGAAAGTAACCCGAACCATTGACTCAGCTTTCCTCCTTGCCAGCACCCTCAAATATTCATCTTTCCACTTCCGGCAGACGACGCTATTTCTGAGAGGAGAAGAAAAAGTGCGGCGTCATAGTTCGGCTGAGTCTCGTGTCGTTTACGTGACGCTGGTAATTGAGCACTACGGGTTTTATATGTAGGAGACGTTGACAAAGCCAAACCAGGACCCGCATCACCAAAACCCCTTCAACGTGTCGTCGTCTCCCAACCTGAAACGCCTCCAAACTTTCATGTTCCCGGGGGACTGATTGGACAAAAGGACTGGAGCAAACCATGACGTTTTGCTTGTATAGTCGATCCGAGCACCCCGTTCGCTTTTTGTGATTACGACACTCGCACTAACGTAAACACAACCTTACTGTATTGTTTTTTGCTGAGGTTGTTTGTTTTAAAACTTGTAAAATTACGTAGTTCCGGCTCTTTTCACATGCAAATATGGTTACCCTCATTTCAGGACGGTGGTGCTGGTGACGCTGTTCTCGCAGTATCTGCGAAATGTGCGCATTCCAGTGTTGGGCACACGCCACCGCAAGGAGCCCGAGCGGAGACGAAGGATGGCTTTCTTCTCGCTATTTCCAGTAAGTCTCGAACGTGACCTCTTAAAACTAACGGGCAGAACGTGTTGGAGGCGGTTCGTTACGAAGAATAAACATATAGGACACGTCTTAAAAAGGGCGATTTACGCGTCGGGGTATCAGTGGCCACGTTTTAAGGTAAACACAGCTCGGAGGACCCGGAGTCCGATCTTGTTTTACGTGAGCGAGAGAGCATTCTCGGCGTGTGATTGGACGTGGCGCCGTAGCTTGCGCGTAATCCAACAATAAGACATTTTGACGCATTAGCGAGTTCCAAATCAGGCACAACTTTGGCGACACCGTCTCACCAACTCCAAGATAGCGAGAAAGGTATCACAGTCTCCGTCACTTGTACTAAGGACCGTATTAGTTTACCAGACCTTGTAAGAGATACTTCTTTTTCTAACAAATGCTCAGGCACAAAAAGCACGCCCCAGTTACTTTCTCTTTAGAGAAACAATAAAAGAAAGTGTGTCAAAACAGGCGTCGGTGCGTTTTTTTTGCTAACAGCGTACCATTGTCCGACGCAGATCATCCTCACCATCGGCATCATGTGGCTCATCTGCCTCATCCTGACGCTCACCGACGCCGTGAAACGCGACAGCACAGTACGGACAGACACCAAGCTGCGTGCCTTCTACGAGACTCCCACCTTCAGTTTCTCGTACCCATGTGAGTATCTGCATCCGCCTCCCATCTAATGCAAAACAATCGTTTAAATTTAAAAAAAAAGGAAACAGAAAAAATCCTGCAGTCGAAAAACAAAACTAACACTATCTTGGTCTTGCTTACAAATACAGGGGAGCACAGGATACATTTAACGCAAATTACGTCCACCCCGCACAAATTGACGTCACGTGACTTGAGGGCGTTCCCCCCCTCCCCCCCCCCCCCCCGGTCAGGTCAATTTCCTCGCTAAATTTAGCGGAGAAATCGATTTCACGTGGCCTAATGTCAGATGACGTGGTCAAGTCACGTGAATTTCCCCGCTAAATTTAGCGAGGAAATTGACGTCACGTAACATAACATTACCCGCTAAATTTAGCGTGGAAATTGACATTACGTGACGTGGTCACGTAATATTTTTTTTTTTACGTTGTGTAGCACTACCATCGAGTCTCTCGTTCATGACGATTTTCTCATAGGAAAGAACCCATAAAACAGATTCTGTGTTAAAAAAGAAAGGCGACTTCCGGCCACGTGGCAACACATAATTGCAGCCTTTGCACTAGAATTCTGACGTCAGCGTTCTTCTGGGTTTCGTGTCCAATCAACGCTTCGAGGGGCGCTTGGCATCGGGTCCGATAGGCCCTTTTCAAACGTCCATCAAGTAACATTGGCGATCGCCACTGCTTAGGCTAGGTGGCGCAAGCTACCACCCGTTACAAAGGGTAAAGCCATTAACATCCATCCATCCATCCAGTGGACACGAAGCGCGGGATTGGATCCGAGTCCTCACCGAACCCTGACGCAGCAGTCGTGTCAAATAATATGCTCAGAGTCCGTGATCAAGCAATGGCGGACAGGCGATGGTGCGGACTTTTGAAAAGGGTCTATTGCTGAGTCGGCGCCATCCAACTGTGATGAGGTTTCATGAAGGAAGGGGATAATGTTCGCAGGCTTTAATTATTCCAAGTATAACACCTCATTTAGCCCGAGCAACATCTTATACCGCGTGAGCTAAAGGAATCATTGGTACTTTGAAGGGACCACCTAAACCGGTGCCTTAACGCATCTAGTGAAGATTTTGTACAAAGGTCCAACGATATGGTACATTATGTGCATCGAAATTTCAGAAAACTTCTCGTACCCGTGTAAACAGCAAACAATTAAGAGCGTGCATTAGCTAGATACGGCGGCCGTGTGCAAGATGATTAAAGCGCAAAGCGCAAAAAGCAGGGCAAAAAAAAAAAGAAGAGAACACACAATCGCTGAACTTACAACTGGAGTTTAATCGTCGAGGCGCAACCATGTATTCAACAACCAACCAAGAAAAAAAACACGCACACCCAATGTCACACCAGTAGATTTCAGCACCCTTACCGCGGTCGCTGTCGTCGAGCAAGAAACTGTAACTCTTTACCAAATAGCAAAACAGAGGGGGCGTTTTACACGGTCTTCCTTTAGGTGCGCAATCATATCCGACACGATGATTTCTCTAGCCAGGGCATTGGTGCTTCTTCTAACGGCCGAGTATTTTTTTCAAAATCGGCAGCACACGCCCAATCACGACATTGAATACCCAGGTGTCCCTATACCTCACTTTTTGCATTGTAACGATGTTCCCTTAATCTATCGCTCAGGCATCTGTCAATTTCCCCTAGAACGCAGGAAAGCGGAGTGGATATACAACTTTTCATGTGCGTTCAACAAACCGATTTTGATGCTTCTTAGTGCAGCCCCAGCTGTACGATTAACGTTTGTACAAAGCTATGGACAACCTGTTTGGGGCAGAGAAGGTAACAATGACATCTATCCTCTTTGCTATTTTTTTTCGAGCCATGAGAGATTTCATGGAAATACAAAGCCACAGGAAGTTTGTTTCTTTCTTTCTCTTTAGGAACGTCTACCGTAAGTATACGGCCTTCTATTTTATTGTTCTTCGATAAAATGCTTGCCACCGAAGTCAGAACATGCTCCGGATACTCCGCCATCCAAAGAGGGAAAATGTGAGCGTCAAAGCTGGCCTGTACTAAATGGGAACAATATTTCTTTAAAAAAAACACTGCAAGAAAAAAAAAAGATTTTAAAGACATAATTGGGACACGTATTTGCTAAAAAATATTTTATGCACGAAAAAGATTCGTAATATTTAGGCCGTTAGACGCAATTTAGGTGGAGGTCACAGTCCGCTCTAAGTCCCGCCCAAAATGAGTGGCCCTGCCCATTACTACTGGACTGGATTCACTGCTCGACCGAGCAGACTAACAAGCGTAGTGCCTTCCTTTCCCGTCATCCGGTGCGTCTAATCTGGAAGTCTAACACTGTTTGCTAGTCGTGCGAGCAGACGAGCGGAAGCCTCCGGCATCGTCTGCTATTTCACCGTCGTCTATCGTGTCTGCAATGCCTTGAGACGAGGATACGAAAGCTGCACGTCAGCGTCCGTTTTCGCCTTCGTCCGTCTGCTATTCAACCGCCGTCTAAAAACTTCTGCAACGCTCGGAAAACCCGACTATGAAACCGGCGTTCTAGCGTTCCATCATGCACGAGTCACGGTCCAATACAAGCATCTGTCAGCGTCTATCGATGTGCGTAATAAGCGACCAAGAGAACTAAAAAAAATTCAACAAAATAATTATGCAGTCTTTCTGGATTTACTCTTCTTGTTATATTTTTTTTCGCGTGGCATCCGCGAGCAAGGTCAGTGAGCGTCACGACGCACAATTAAAACGTGACGTAAAAATATTCGCTTTGGTAGGCCAGGTGCACAGCAAAACTTGAAAGCTTGCCTTTCGCGTCGCAATGACGGGAGCATATCCAGACAAACTTGATGCGAGCCGAACGCTCGACTGCGTCCAACCAAATGGCTAGCAAATTCTTTCCTGTGTAGGTATCTTCTCGGTATTGAAACCATGGTCGCAATCACGACGGTTGCACAATTCACAGAGCAGCGGGGTCGCTTTTACGGGAACCATCATCGTTATTCAACATCAACACGCGCAAAGAAAGAAATCGAGCCAGATCGATCAAAACAATGAACCTTTTCCACATACCGACGGCACCAGGCGGTGGCTGCACGAACTAAAAATCGAGGAAGTGACCTACCTGCGCTACCAATCGATAATGGGAGTTACGCTACCAGTTTCTTCGCTCTCTGAGCAGCGGCGCCTGCCCAACGCGACTTGAAAGAGGGGCATCCGTGGCGTCCACCCAAACGTCGTGTTTTCCTTTCCGTCGACGTTCTTTTTTTGTGTAACACAATTATATATATGCTGCAGTTACGTGTTCTACTCGCTGATATAGAGCCTCCTTCCGAATTTTCTCGATTTTTCGTTCCGACTTCCACCCCTTGGCATCGGGCGCTCGCGCGTGCGCAGAACGCTTCTCGGAAAAGGTCCATTGATCTGGGACGCTATAGGCTTAGGCCAGTCCCGCTACGAGAACAAGCATCCACACAGCACTTCCAAAAGCGCGTACTTGCAGCAGTTGTTTGTTGCAAACTACGTCTGTTGAGGAGACCTTCCTCCGAACACCTCTATGAACTCGAACACCCTCGCACTCATAAAAATTTACGAGCTCAACAAGCTTTGCTCGTTGACCTCCGCAGACGCCGGCAGCCTTGTTTGTTAATGTTTTAAACCAATGCGGAAGAAGTAATCTCAGAATACATTTGAAAACAATATTGACTATATCTTGATTACATTCTTCACAAACATAAAAAATAGTCGATTAAAATACTATTACGGCACTGAGATACAAATTTACAACTAACCTTTCCCGCGTTAATCATCTCTCCAGCCTATGAGATATGAGCACATTGTAAGCACGTGGCGGGGTTAAGCGGGCTGCGACTTCCACCTTCAGCACCTAAATTGCATCTAACGGCGTAAATATGAAGCAAAATATTTTTTCGTGGGAAAAAATATTTTTTTAAATACATGTCCCATGTTTTTTAACAAACTTTTTTTCTTTGCCGTGACCCTTTAAAGCATTAGTGAAACACAAGTTCAAAGTACTTTTTTTATAATTATTTCGAATCCGCAAATTGGTAAACTAAAAGCGGTTTAGTCCACGGGGTTCATACGACCAACAAACATGGTCTTCTGAAAAGGAAGATGGAGGTCTAGGAAATGTATGAAGGACCCATTTGCAGTCAGTTCGTGTGTCGAGGCTAATGGCGGCAGGCAGTTACCAAATACAAGCAAAGTATTTGACACCAAGTGGTTCCCTTGAGTGCTCCACCGGCTTATACAGTTGACAATTCATAAGCATCTCCTTCGCAGGTGACAGCCTCCACAATCTCACATGTAGGCTGCTTTGGTCTCGTCTATATTTCACATAGAGTATAATATTCTCGTAGTTCAAGACACGTACCTACAAGTATATAAAACGTGTTGGTACTGGGAATAATGTTTCGATTTAGTCGTTAGGACGACCTCGGCTAAGGATGTTTGAAGCGAGTGTGTTGTAGGTTCCTCGCACTGCACAGCAGCGCCCTTTACTACATTCTTCTTGCACCCTTCAGAAAATAAAAGCTGTTCCACTGAACACAACCTTACCTCAGAATTCAATTGGTATGCGGAGTGAAAGTTCGTCTGCTTCTTGCTCAGGGGTTGTGATGATGTCAGAACGCCATCTTTTATTGGCTGATTGAAAATATAGTGCGTAGATCTCGATGCATCTAGCGTCGAGGTCTACCCACTATCCTTTCAATCAAATCCAATCAGAGCTCGTCCTCTTTCTGACGTCACCGTAACTCTTGCGCAAACAGCAGACGACTGGCTCTCCCCATATGACTGGAAACAAGAGTACCGAAAGGGTGTAGCCACGGGTGTAAGTTTTCATAACACACTTTTACAGCCTTAAGATTACAAATATGTTTAGGGTTCAAAGACTGCATGGGGAAGGGACCACCAGAGTTCAAACCCACTGCGCGGCAGAGGCCGAAAGGAAAGTGAAATGACGCGCGGAGGGGCGGTCAGCGCAATGTATTGAAACACCGTAACTTTGCAGTTATGGTTCGGCACAAACGTACACTTGCAGTGGCAATCAAATTGTAATAGCGACCAGAACCAGAATGCGCTGCGTACGCGAAATGATCCTGAGAATAAGTTCACGACGAAAGAAACAACTAATCAAGATCTATAAAATTTCGCTGCATCTGCGATGAAAAAAAAAATCCTTTCTCGATACTAAGACTACAGCAAAAGTTGCTAATGACCCTCGTAGCTCTCTTGCTTATCTTTTTCCCTTTTTTTTATTTTTCGTAGCAGATGTAAATGATCTTAATGGAATGCGTCTAGAGCCACTCGTTTACGGATAGTTTGCTTATAATACCTGAGGTGCGTGCACATGCAAGAACCACGCACGGGAAAGATGGCATCCTTAGAATGCTGGCTAGGTTTCTGTGTCAAGAAACTAATGTTTGTTTGAGAAATAAGTGTCCGTGTTGTAGTAACATCATACCTAGAAATAGGGATCATCACAAAGAATCGAGATATAATAGCGAGCTTATTGAGGTTACCAAGGTTCTTGCACAGGGCGACTGGATTACCTGCCCCTTCGTCGTGCCTGTGTAGATTAAAGCAAGTGTTGTCGACCTGTCAGCGTGTGCCTGTCAATGGCTCACTCTAAAAAGTCTAGCGTGCTATACTCTCACGCACAGTACCTGGGAGAGTCAATCGCTGCAATCTACGAAGGGAAGATACTAAAATTATGTCTAGATAAAAAAATTTCAAAACTCTGTTCATTGTGACACTGGCCCTGACGTTCCACATGCTTAAGTCCTGCTCAGTACCATCGTGCAGATTGTTTTCTTAGGTGTGCACAGCTTTTCGACACCGTCGTTCACCAATCTCCCTCCGTATATTGCCAGCGAATAACCGTCCCAAATGCTTTGAGAAACGTAGACGTACCGGATTTCTTAGGGTGTCCTCACCTGAACAAGGCCAGAAATGGGGCCTAAATTTCACGTGGGCTTCGCGTGTCTCCCGGCAGGGGCACTGTCGGTTTAGGACGGCCGCGCGTGAACACGTGTGCACGCGAATAAGGACGGTTCACCGAAGCCCTGGTCATTATGCGAATCATGTGAGCGAATGTGAGCGAATCATAGAAATATTCTTTCCATGGCGAAACGGCGCCGTTTAGATACTTCTCTCTCTCTCTCCACTGTGTTTCTAACTCCTTATTCGAATCAACATCAGTCGATTGGAGCGCGGCGCGCGGTGTATGGGCCAACTTTTAATGCCACCCCGCCGGCAAAACAACGACACGTGTATACAGTTACAGGCTGTTCACAAACAAGACCGGATTTACTCAACCTAATGTGGGCAATGCACGTGCGCAGAAACCAGATACGCGCCACGTGAAGTATCTGCGCATGCGCAGTGCCAACAGCAGCGCCACCGCAGTATCAGAAATTTCAGTTGGTTTATTGCAAAATTGCGTCTGTTAACTCAATTTTATTTTTAAAGTTCCTCCGCTCTCGAGTAAACGTTCCAGGGGTTTGATTTTAGACACCGCGAGAGCGAGAGCAAGATCTAATTTGCCTCCCACGGAGCGAGCGAAGATACCGGTCGTAGACGGATCGCCTGCTAACGCGAGAGAAGGAGGCGGTTCGTCTGCTTTGAAGCCTCATTCGCGGACCAAATAAAACGAGTAAACACCGTACACTTCTGTTTGAATTTTTTGCTAGCACGCCAGAAAAAAATTCTTGGTTGTCTGTTAAACGAGCCGAGCGCCGCGATGAAGTGATATCCGACGCAGGCTCAAATTGTGGACGTCTGCTATTTCACGTTGGAAGCCATTGGCAAACAGCGCTTGTTTTGCAAGTCTCAAGTTGTTCTGCCGTACACAAGCTGATATCGACCGGTGGATGAAGGAGTACAAATAACAATCACTTCAAATACTGTGAAAGCTCTCTCGCTCTCTGTGCGTTGGTGATACGTTCCCCCCAAATTATTGCCCGATTGTGAACTCGCGAATGGGTCCAAAATGTCTCATTGGCTGATTCCGGACGAGTTGTGGCGCCACGTTCAATCAGAGGCCGAGAACGCTCTTGCTCTCACCTTGACCGAAGTCGGATCCCAGAAGAAAGATTAGGAAAAGTCTGAGTCTACGTCATTTCTGGAGAGCGAAAAACACATTTCCACAGCCGCGTTGAACCGCTCGGGTGTTGTATCTTTTCCGGCCACGCTCGGTAGTCGCCCATAAAGCCAATGGCTCTTGACACACATGGACACACGTGTAAAGAGACAGATTGCAAATATAGGCAAAGCGGCGCTCTGAAAAGAAACTGGGGGTGTATCGGAACGACACAGTTAAACTTGCTGTCCTCCCAACTGCGGCGAAATCAAAAAGCTACTCGTTTGTAACATTAGAAGTCGGTACAACCTGCATGAAATTTCCTACGCGTAGGACCACATTACTAATGCCGGGAAGGCACTCAGTTTGTCGAACGACGTTCCGCCCCCTACTTTCATCGAAGTTCCCCCCCCCCCCCCCCCGCCCCCCTACTTTTCATCGAAAACTACTTTAGCGGATTCGGCCGCCGCTAAAAGGGGTGGGCCAAGTGGGTTGACAATTTTTGTAATGAACCGCCGCAGACTGTCACCGCGAAGCGGAGTAAAAGGGGAAGAGGGGGGAGGGGGAGGTTAACACGCGTTCCAGCGATACACGCCAATCGCTAAAACGTCGATTCGCTCGTTCGCTCAAATGACCGTTGTACGCTCAAACGTCGTTCGCTAAAACAGCCATTTACTCATGTGTAGACGGCTGTCTTCCCTGCAATTTAAACCTCGCCTAATCGAGTCGGTAAGAATAACGCACAGATTTAACTGGGGTCTCGTACTACGCTAAAAACATTTGCAACATTATGGGTGTAAAACAGCTTTTCCAAAAGCTAACACCCCAAGGGTGCTGCAGCAACTCTCATGGGTTGCTGGTAAACACCCAAAAAAATGTATTCTTAGAATTTTAGCACCATCTCAGAGATTTCATTTATTTATTTTTACACGAGCAGCAGGTTGACAAGCAGCACGCACTACACAAAGTTGCAGAGGCACAGGAACCATCGGTATAGATGCAATGACGCGCGGACAAACACGGAACCACGGTCCTCTCCGTGAATCCGGTCACCGCTCCACCACCTTGTGCACTCGACAATTGTAAGATACTCATTCGCAGGCGATGACTTCGCAATAGCGAAGGTTAGAAGTATGTTGCTATGTTCTCGCGAATATTTCACACAGAGCGTAATATCTCGAAGTTCAAGAAATGTATCTCCAGGTCCAAAGCATTGGTACAGACAATAATTATTCGATTTAGTCGCTAAACCAACCTCCCCTAAGGCTGTTTGAAGCGGGAGTATGGTCGCTTACACCCTTTTCCACTGCAGTATCCTTTTTCATACCTTTTTGCACGCTTTATACATGAAGGGTGTTCAATTGCACCCCATTTTGCGATTAAAGTGTGTATTACCCAAAGTAAGGGCGATGAAAGGGTATAGCCATTAGTTCCAGTCTTTAAAACACATTTTTACAACCATCATACTGAAGTGGTGCGCAAAGCGCTGGCTCCGAGGAGATAAAATACGACCTTAAGAAAGGTGTTTCGAAACTGGATGCCGCTTGAAGTTTCGCTATATACAACTATCCCAACTGTCTTATTCGTTTTTTTTCTTTTTTTTGCAGGGTATTTTATGAATGACACTGTCATTGTGACCAAAAGTAACGTCAGTCGCGGCTCACCGAGCTTACTATCTTGCCCCATGAGAGCGAGAAAAAAATTAAAAAAAACACGTTCCTTACATATCACCGCTGCAGCACCCCCGGTTCTCGTTGTCTTCAACGGCAAGAGGTATCCAGTTCCAAACCCACATCCAACACTTCGGACGTCACCTCTTCAAGTACACGCAATTACTCTGCGCGCCTGTTGGAAAGTTTTCAAGCCCTTGACGGCGCTATCACTTGCGATGAAGCCACTACTATACATACAAAAACAAAATCCGTAGCTTTTCGCTATATGTGCAAGGAAGGTAAAGCGATAGCTGTAATTGCGCGTAGTAACACCAACTTTTATGCATATTCAATCTTTATTTACTCATTCACACACAACACACTCTCGCGCTCACTGAAGTGTGTAGAAAAGGGAACACACTGCACGTATGATTCAAAATCCACTAAATCGAGACAGGTACCATTACGAGTGAACGGTTGCTTAACATCTGGTACAAGCAAACCGAGTTCTACGGTGAGGAATGGCGTCCCCCGCCGAACGTGGAAGCAGTATAGAAGACACTGCCCCCTGACAAGAGCCAAGTGATCGCTCTGTCTGGCGTCACGGGTGTGTACACGCCCGAGTGCTCCTGGGAGTTTTCTGCCTGCAGTGGTACAACAATGGCGCCGTGAATGCAGCTGAGAACTGCCAATTTATTCCCAACTTTCAGAGATGGTGCTACCGCGGTGTGAGAATCGCGCTCCCATAACCCTGGATGATGGGCTTCAGAACGAAGGATCTTGCCTACACTTTCCTGGCGTAGAAATATATAGCAACGTTCTTATATCTATCGTATTTCACAAAATTAGAATTACTTACGCGTCGCACACCCAACCTTGCAGTGCTGTTGTACGACGACCATCCAGACGACAGACATTTTGATAGTAACCAGTGCGTTCCTTCTAGGACGCGTGTAGGTTGCGAATAACAGCCATCGCGTACAAATTTCGTTGCTGTCATCCGAGACCAACGTTAACGAGAACGGTGCTCTTGTGTTCTCCCTTACAGTCCAGTGGGGGATGCCGACGGTGAGTGTGGGAGCCGTGGTCGGCCTCCTGGCGGGCGTCCTGGTGTCCGTGGTGGAGTCCGTGGGCGACTACCACGCCTGTGCCAGGCTGTCCGGGGCACCGCCGCCGCCCGTGCACGCCATCAACCGCGGCATCTTCGTCGAGGGCTTGGGCTCGGTCCTGGCCGCCGCCTGGGGTGCCGGCTGCGGACTCACCTCGTACAGCGAGAACATCGGCGCCATCGGCATCACCAAGGCATGTTCGCGTGCCTCATGATCGTAGAATTATACTAAGGCCCTAGATTCTCCGGTGATCGTTTATGAAAAAAATTGGCAGAGGACTTTGGTGTTTAATGATCTTCCAAATATCCATGTATTTCGGTGATCTGTTTCGGACGGGCGCTAAACACAGTGAATATCTGTGGAAAAAATTTCTCCTATAGCTGGAGCAATACTTTCCAGAAGTGGAAGCTTATCGGTTTTAGCCGATTTTGTATTTTTGACACCAACTGTTGTTTACCGGTCTAAATCTATGGCTTAGTTGTAGTATGGTGCCTTGAACGCGTCCGACTGGTGTGCTTATACCGCATTCTAAAGAATGGTCCCTCGCCTGGTGGCATCGTAGAAGTGTCATGTTGTCGCCGGCAGCGCTCCAGGCGCGGGGTCACAGCTAGCAGCAGTGGTGGACGTGGCAGACGCTTCCACACTAAAAAAAAGAAAGGTTTAGCCCTTACACCTCTTGTCACATATACGACACCCCAAAAGTTCAGTTCGCCGTACAACGCACTGACGTCAACTGACGGCCCCAATTTTTGCGAGAGGCTCGATGACGGTGCCATTTAATATATTAAACGCATCAAAAAGTATACAGAAAACAAAATACTGGGGTTTTGCACTAGCACCAACCGCCAGGATTGCAACATCCGACAACATGACATGGCGGGTTCTGTAACGTCATTTGTTGCCACCGCGGGACCACTTTTGATGTGTGGGCGGGTTAGGACGCTAAATTAGCACACCGGTCGAAAACGCGTTCCATGTTCCAGGCACCGTAGTTAGAGTGCAGGGTCCGATGGAGAAATGAAACCATATACCTACTATGCTTTTCGGCACGCGTAACTAAACTACGCATAACAGAAAACTGAAACTTCACGTGTTTATGAGTGCAGCGGTGGTGATAGGATGCGAATGTTTCAGAACATTACGTTACCGGAATTGTGAAAAAAACTAAACAAAAAAACAAATTTTCTCTACAAGCCGACGTCCTAACGTTAGTCCAACAAAAAATTACATTGTGCACACAAAAAAAAAATATTAAAATCTGTTCTTGAAAGGCTTTTTGACGCCCTGGGAACTCTTTCAGCTCATGAAGAACGGGTTCGCCTCAAACACTAACGCCCCCTGTCGCACTTGAAAGACAACTGGGCGATAAAGGACTATTTCGCATCAAAAAAGGAGCTTAAAAGAACCTCTTACAGGTTTTTCACAAAGAACTTTTCGGGTGCAAAATATGGGCAAGCCGAGGAACCCTTAAGAGTTCTACTTTACGTCCAGATATTTTTGAGAGTGTAGGTACCTGGTTCATTTCACTAAAAACATTTTGTTCGCAAGAGCGAGAATCTTGTGTTGTTTTCTTCTCGTCGATCAATTGTTTTACTGAAACAAACGCCACAGACGCCCACATCGCCATTTCTTAAATTGACGAATAGTATACATTGGTGGACGCTGATCGGATAGATAAATCTCGTTTTTTTTCGGTTTTACTTCTCGATCCAGCCACGTTCTCAAACTCTCGCATTACATGGTCAACGTTAGCGTGCCATTGAAACGGAGTTTCAGCTCTCTGCAATGAATAGTTTATTTATAGGGCCGCAAACACGGCTTAGTTTTCTCGATCAAACTACAGCTGCTTCACCGCGGCAGTGTGAAAAGTCAGGTTTGTTGTATGGATCGACGTTCAGACAGCAGCAAGTTAGTCTATCTTGAGACTGAGCTTTTAGCCAGTATATATGTATAAACACCCTGTATATATATATATATATATATATATATATATATATATATATATATATATATATATATATATATATATATATACGGAACAGCACCTGGGAACAAAAGACGGCACTCGAGAGAAATATGCTCAACACAATATTAGCCCTTAAAGGAGTTAGCCGAGGAGGTTGCCAAAAAAGAGATCAGTGAAACGTTTCGGGCCTGGTAGGCTCTTCGTCAGTCAAGTGAGAAGACTTCGTTCTCCTTTTCTTTCAATCAAAGAAAAAACGGCCGGAAAAAAGAAGAAGTTAATTGGAAAAATGCTTACCGTTTAGCGGGTGCCTACTCAACTAAATTCTCGCTTAAAAGTTTAATATATCTCGATACCAATGCAATAAATACTATGGAAATAATTAAATATAATATTATTACTGCCATTCTTATCATAAAACCAGTTTTTGGGACATGTGGTTGGGTATAACCCAACTATACCTGGTGTCATGTGAAGCCAATGAGAGGCCCAATGTTACGCGTTTGCTCGTGTCACATTAAACGATGAAGCGAGAAAAAAAAAAAAAAAAGCAACAGTGCGGTACCGATTAGAAGATCTCAATTAAATGTCCATAAAAAAAGACGGCAATGATCCTTTCGAACTGTTAAGGCCCTTCGGTTCTAAAGTATTAAATCTATAGATAAATTCAGATTCTTTATTTTTTCGATCTCTGGTGGTTCGAAAGCCCCCCTGGAGTATAATAAAATTAAAATCAGAAAGTCCGTTATGTCCTGCGGAGTTTAAGTGACGGAAAACCGGTCCGGCAACGTGTTTACGTATATGACTTTTATGTAGATTCATGCGTTTTCTTATGCTTGTTTTAGTTTCTCCTATGTATTGAATTTGGCATTTTCTACATTGAATTAAATAAATAACATTTTCCGAATTACAGTCAAAGGTACCATTTATTTTCCATTTTTTTCCGGCCGTTTTTTCTTTGATTGAAAGAAAAGGAGAACGAAGTCTTCTCACTTGACTGACGAAGAGCCTACCAGGCCCGAAACGTTTCACTGGTCTCTTTTTTGGCAACCTCCTCGGCTAACTCCTTTAAGGGCTAATATTGTGTTGAGTATATATATATATATATATATATATATATATATATATATATATATATATATATATATATATATATATATATACAGGGTGTTTTTTTAAGCTCAACAGCTTTGTTTAAAAAAAAAAACCGTGAAAGTTACACTTATGCCGCTTGTGGAGGTGAGTTATACGGTCAGGGGGACATATTATAGGGGCTAATCGTAACAATCGGTCGGATAATTAAATAAAATTTGTTAATTAACTTTTTAAATAATAAAAATAGACATATGGCTCCAATTAGAAACTTGCTCAGCGTCATCGAAAACCACTAAATCAGTCCTTTTCAGAAAGACTTTGAGCGCGAGAGAAGCGTAGTATTGTACTAAAGTTACCACTCGTGGATCATTTCGTTATTTCGAGTGTCCTTTGTTTTAAATTAGTATCCTCAGTCGCTGGCGAAACATCCTGTAGACATACGTATGTATTGCCACTAAAAGGGCAATTTGTTGAGGTACGAACATCCCCTGTTTTGCCGGCATAGCTGGGACCTCTTGGCCGCGATGTCGAGAGTGAGGAAAGCGCGAAATGGGTCTCGGCGTTCGGGACATTGACCAAGGCAGTGCAACGTCCACGCGCGTAAAGAGCAAATGGTGAGAGGTACACAGGAAGCGACGGGTGAGCAAAAGGAATATCTCCGAGGGGGAAACTATTAACGTGCACAAGCAGAATGGCTATCTACTTATGCAACAGAGCTCTTGGAGTCGTCGTTGCGCCAATGTTCAGGCACAAGCAAGCGGTTATACTCAGCAGCGACGAAAGTGTGAGGGGTGTGAGGGCAACAGCTCCAAAAATAACGGTTCACGTCGCCGAGCGCTCGTGTCCGTCCAAATGTACCGGTAGCAGTCCGGAGCAGATGCCAGTTTTAAAAATTAACCCTTAACTCAAGTTATAAGGGATTTTCTAAAAAATCCATTGGAAAATTTTGCAAGTTCGTTTCCTCCTCGCAAAGGGGTTGCGATGATGTCAGAACGTCAAGCACTTATTGTCTCATTGCCAATAATAGTAGGTGGACCTAAAGGCGTCTAGCATTGAGGTCCACCCTCTATCCTCTCCATCAAGGCCAATCAGAACTCGGCGTCGTTTTGACGTCACCGCAACCCCTGCGCAAGAAAGCAGACGACTTGCTCTCCGCATTAACAATTTCCAACCGAGAACGGCAGAATAACATTGTCGGAAGATTGTCCCATTCACCGGTATTCGTAGATTTCGTCTGCCACCATTTCCCCATTGAAAAATTCCGGAAATCGCTTATTATAAACTTTGAATAAGACACTGGTTCGTTCTGAAAATTTTGACATCTTGTTCGTACCGCTAGCGCTGCATTTTGGCGGAAACTGTGAGCGTTCGACAATGCGTAGTTTATTTTCGATATTAAAACAAATTTTGGGGGACACCCTGTTCTTACAAGATTTGGTTTTTAGACGGGGGAAAAAAACACTCGCGATTTCTGCACCTGCACCTACAAATGCATTGACGCGGAGATCATCTGTCTTTCGCCGTGCGAATCTTGCGCGACGATCTGACAAAGAGATGTGCGCGCAGGTGGCCAGCCGGCGCGTGATCCAGTTCGGCGCCGGCATCATGCTGGTGCTGGGCATGGTGGGCAAAGTGGGCGCCCTGTTCGTGGCCATCCCGGAGCCCATCATGGGCGGCATCTTCATCGTCATGTTCAGCGTCGTGTCCGCCGTGGGACTCTCGAGCCTGCAGTTCGTCAACCTCAACTCGTCGCGCAACCTGTTCGTCCTGGGGGCGTCCCTTTTCCTGGGACTCTGCCTGCCGGACTGGATCCGCCGGCATCCGCAAGAAATTGCCACTGGTGAGACCCTCCCCTATTTGCACCTCACCAAATGCATACCATTCCTACAGTCAGTTGCTACATGAAATCAGCAGTAGATGATCCGCCCCCCAGCGCGATCTTTTTCCACTTCGGCGCAAGCAAAGCCAAACACGCCCGAGGGCAACGAAGGGGTGCTGGTGGTGGGGCCCATCTATACTCACCTACTGCTCTTAGCGCTCTAGTGGGATGCGGCCGCGATGAAGTCATAATGTCGCGTGACGACCATAATAAGCTTGACAATAGTCATGTCACACCATATCACGTGACACCAAGACATTATGTGAAACTAACCTTAGGAGTCCCCAATGGGCATTAAACAACACAATAAGCAGTTTTTCTTTTTAATCCCGTCACATTATTTTTGGGAGTCCCCCAATATCACCAACATATCAGAGACCTGCCAAATCGAACGCAGTGCAGAGACTGACGAACTAGCGAAGTCAACGCTGAGGTTCTTCATCCGCTCCATCTCGAATGTCTTCGATGTGCCCGTTGGGTACAGTGCTTGTATAGTGTGTGTGCAGCTCACAGGCATATGGCAAACACTTCGTTAGTAACCTATGTTCCGTCCGAACGGCGAGTTAAAATCGTTTCTCGGTACAAACCCACGCGACACTTCTGTGCACGCAGGTAGCGAAGGCGTGGACCAAGTTCTACGGGTCCTGCTTAGCACCAGCATGTTTGTCGGCGGCTTCGTCGGCATCTTCCTCGACAACACGATCCCGGGTAAGTCACCGTCATCGGTTACTGTCTTTCAGAAGAAGCTGCATCTGTTTTCACGACGATAGTCTCTATCGCCGAGGTTTCACCGCGGATCCTGTGCGGGTTTCCTGTACAACCGCCGCGACCCGCTAAATTTAGCGGGGAATCCCAGCGTTAGAACATTGTAGCGTCCCTCTGTCACGTGACGTCATGTCACAAAATGTAACAATTATCTCGCTGAATTTAGCGGAAAAATTCCCCCGACAAATTTATCTAACATTTTTTTTTTTTAATCTAGTAGGAGTTTAGTGATTAAATCCCTGCATACAGCACTTCGTACGCGGCGTTTTGGGGTTTTTGAAAATGGTTTAATGAAGCCTCATTTTTAGCCAGGTTTCCTCTTGCAGCTTTCCAGCATTGGTTCACACATTTTTATGCAGAGCTCTACACTCATCTTGAAAGAAGGGACCACAAACCTATCATACAACTGCACCCTCTGTACCGGTGTTAAGGATTAGTGATTATTGAACGGAGGCTTCTAAGGAAAGGGGAAGTAAATATGGTATCTAAAGAAAATATATATTTATTCATTAATCAATCTTTTAAAATAAACACACTATTAATACCACCCTTATGGCTATTCGTTTAGAAAATGAAACTCTGTATCTGTTAGGTGCACTGACGGGGCACTAACGCACTTGCTTTCTACACAACGCATCGTGAAATTCAAAGGCACTTTTATCTGCGTATCTTCTAAGAATTGTTGTTTGTGCTAATTTTGGGTCACATGTCCCTGCTTATTCAGCGCTTTTAGTGCACTGCCAGATTGCCCGGCGGGGACTGTTTTACTGACCATGCATGTTATCTTGCTTGCTTGCTATCTTGTTATTAGCGGCCCGTGTAATGTTTTGGAGTAGTGCCGAAAATGGGTCGGTGTCGATATGGAGCGCGGTCGACGGCGCGAAACCCCGAAGTGTCCCACTAACAGCTATCGCTGTAATATAGCTGTAAAAAAGGAGATCACAAACTTTTTTAGATTATCGTCCTGAATGGAATATAAAGGGAACGAAAGATTGTTTTCACCTTTAGCGGAGAAATATTCCGTGCACGAAATAAACATACCCATAGCCTCCTATATTCTGACAAAAGCCTGGCAAATCGCCACGAGAAGCGGCCGCCGAAATGCAAAAGGTGCAGCGGCAGACAACGGTGAGAGGAGAGCCATGTGACTAGCGCCCCGCTGCGGCGAGACGCCGAAACAAACCTCTCCCAAGCAAACAAGTGTGTTTCGGGTCCTCGGCGCTGCAAAAGCTGTGCGCTGACGTCCAGGTTCACCGAGAAATGGCTTTTTGATTCTCTGTGCTACCCCTCGCGCTCCAAATTTGCGACCGGGCACTCTATGGCTCCGTCGTCAAACTGTCAGGCTTTGTGAGTATAGAGGAGGCTTTGACGTACCATACCACGCCTTCTCTTGTAGTCTTCTTAAAGAGTGTGTAATGAGATGACTACATACTATGTACTATATACATTTCTACATCTTAAAAGATCAAGTCTGTGAGGTGAACCAGCCGAGACAGCGTGGTTCCGAAATTGTCCCTCGAGCCCGAGGTTGTGTCTCGAGCCCGTCGTTCACTTCTTGTGCCGGCTGTTCACTGCAATATCCCCCCCTCCCCCAGCTCGAAGCACCCCGACCAAGCGTTGTTGTTGTTGTTGTTTTGTACTGAAACAACAGTGTCAGCGTTGGAGGGGGAATTGGCAAGTGTTACGTATACTCCTCTCAAGTGCCGTTCCTTGGGGTGCGACAGGAAGGTGGGAGAAGTGGTGCGGGGGCTGAGTGTGAAAAGGCTTCACTCGATCGATAGATGCCACTCCTTCTATAGGTTGCTAACAAGTATCGTGAACGCCTTGGTGTCTATATGTATAGCGGGAAACTGCCCATCGTATGTGGTTTGTAGAGGCGTCTTGACGCCCTCGTTCGAAGAAAAATGTGCTTTCACTTTGCGAGATCTGTGTAGATGAACAGCCGGCACTTACTCGTCGTGGGCCGGCTGTTTACGGCAATAAATGCAAGCCCAGTAACATTCTTCACCGAGTTACAAGACACGACATTTCTTTGAATACGTGCAGGCACGGCCGAAGAGCGGGGTCTTCACCGCTGGACGCAGCACTCATCTGGCGACGACTCTGACGTGGCCACCGGCGATGGACCCTCTGAAAAGGAGTGCTACGACCCCCCAGGAGGGGCCGCCATCTGCAACAAGCTGCCTTGGTTGCGGTTCCTACCGATCAGCCCTAGCTTCCGACCCAAGACCCAGTAGTGCTCACCAAAGACCATAAAACTCAGAAGAACTCGAGACGTCTTCCACAGTCTCGCGAGTGCCAAGACCGACTCAACAGTACGCGAGTGCGTCGCCCACCGCGCATCTACTTCCATCTGTGGTGTAGGCCAAGTTGGTCCATGGACAGACTCCCAGACTATCACTTCAAATGACACAAATCACGCGTGCCTACGCGCGATCCGTGTTAAAGCTCTCGGGAGCTCACCACTCTTGCGACAACGTCCAATGATTGTGCCTCACCTAAAATTGCATAAGGGCGGGCGCACGCCCCACTCCCGGTGAACTGTGATTGCTGATGCAGCATCACTCCCGGTGAACTGTGATCGCTGATGCAGCGCCATCTCTTTTCTAACGTCGACTGTCCGCGCGAAGTAGCACTGTATCCGACAATCATGGGGTCGGTGATCTCACAACGCGAACTTTTTCCCGACATTGATCAGTCACTGTGACACCAGAAAGGAACGCATCACCCATTGGATGTGCTGTCACAGCAGCGGATCACCGCGCGGTTATGCGTATGTTTCTAACCCCAAGCTCGACGCATCAAGTGCCTCAAGCACCCTAACTAATGCCATGATGAGTTTATTTATTATCTCTCAAAGAAACTCCGGTGTGCTTCACAATTATCACGAAATGCACTTCAAAAACGCATTTTAAGCAGCTTCTTTTTTCTTTTCTTTTTCGCGTGCATTCCTTTTTAGGGCAGTTATGCAGGGGGAGTGATGTCTTGGACTGCACAAAGAACATTCCCTAAACGTTAAGTTGTTTCGTATCCTGCGTGTCTACACTCATGTTATAGTGCTCGTGCTTTTTTTTTTTTACATCAAAACTTTTACTTCCAAAAGTCATACCAGGTTTAGCCTGTCTCACGAGTTTTTACTTCTCACAATTGCTCCCAACTTACAGTAACTAGAAGACCAACAAGAAAGCTGAATAGACCTTTCGCAAAGCGCGCAGCGCTGTCCGCGACGCCGAAAGGGATACCGGGTACTCAGGGTACACCCGGTTCTAGCAGATGACAGAGGCGCCTTTGGGGGCGACGACGAATGGCGAAGGCAGGCGATCCGTTGCACTACTTCCATCGCTCTCTTCAGTGACACATGGAAGCAAGGAGCTAGAAGATTTCGCACGCGGCGTTTTGGGACTTTTGCAAAGGTATAATGAAGCCTCTTCATTTTTAGCCAGGTCCCCTTTTGCAGCTGCCCAGCATATGTTCATACATTAATTCATGCAGAGCTCAACATTCTATTTGAGAAAAGAAACCACGTATCCATAATACACTAGCATTCAGTGTATTGATGTTGAGGATTAGTGGTTAATGAACGTCACTTCCAAAGAAAGGGCAAGTAATTATGGTATCAAAAGAAAATAGATATTTAATCATTAATCAATCTTGAGCCAGTCTGGTTTAATTTGTATTTTGAATTGAGCACACAAACTCTCAAGAAATAAATACCATCATTTTCACCACGCTGATGAAGTGTTCACCCGTTCTTCTGTACTGCACTCCACGAGTTACGTCAATGACTTGGTGCAAACCCCCAAGTCGGTGTTTTTAGGTTTCCGTGTTTTCGTAAATAAAATACAAAAACCTTGCCGGTAAAATTTTCTTCAATTCTGATTTATCCGAAAAGCTCTAAATTTCAATGTCACAGTACAAAAAAAAAAAAAAAGAACAGCCCGAAATCGCTGTTGCGTTGCGGATTGTCGAAGAAATGCGTGCATTTCGCGCAGCGATTATATTGTCACGAATGACAGACGATGAGTCAGGAGAATACGGACTGAACTAATGATTTAATGGAGCGAACTTATGCCAGAAACAAGAAAGAAGAATCCAAGTAAAGATTCTCGACGTGTAGTCTTCTTTTTCTCAGCTGCTTTCTCGACTCGAGAAAGCGGCAATGAGCGTCGACGGCGGCAGCAACCAGCGACGGTGCGTCGGCCTAACAGCTGGCTTTTGCGAGAGAAATCAGTGAAATGAATTGGCAATACGGCGCTCGGCTATTAAGCTATGCTCGTCATCTCGAATATTCGACCTAGCGACCTAGAATGTTCGGAAAAATAGCTAGGGCGAGACTGACTAGGCAAGGTCATTCTCGCCTCCTTATCGTTTACCCTCGGGGTAAGAGTGTAAGCGAATCTTCTATATGAACGGGGGAGCGTATCTTCTCGATCATGCACGCGGCAATATATAACAAAGCATGGTGAGTGCAGCCTCTCAGCACTCTTCGGGGGATCGGTGGCCGGGTGGGCTCGCTCACACCAGGGGCACTAATCTAGACACTTGGCGAAAAAAGTCGGCGAGAAATCTCTCGGCTATGATTGGCCGGCGCCAAGGTCAAGTACGGCGTTGGCCAATCACGGCCGCCGGATTTCTCGGCTACCTCTTCACCGAGAGTCCAGATTAGGACCCCAGCTCGGAGCACGTGGAGCGAAAGCTCGCGCTGCAGAATCCATGGATCCTGGGTTCAATCCCCACCCCTGCCCGTTTCGATCTGGATGAGCATCGTACCGGCGTGCGGTCGTGTATCACTACTGCGTGGTGCACGTTAAAGACCTCAGGCTAGCAGTCGTACTGCACTGGCTAAATTGCTTATCTACAGCGAGTGACTCGTCGCAACTTTGAAATGGTTGACCAACTGCACGCTCTGCCTAAATATCCACACAACCCCAATTATTTTTCAGCACTTTTCCGCGGAATGAACTTTCCCGATACCCCTTTTGTCCCTGGTACAAGCAAATACTAATCCTGATAAAAAAAAAAAAAAAAAAAAAAAAAGCTGCTTTCTGGAAAAAGGGTTTATAGCTAGGACCAGGGTGGCGAACCGAAACTCTTTTCGGTTACGGTTCGGGTTACGGCTTAAACATTTTAGTTCGGTTCAGATTTCAGCTCCGGGACAAAATAAATAACGGTTCAAACCGGTTTGAACCGTTCGTAACGGTTCAGCTAAAAGCCAAATGTTTAATATTTATTAAATTGCTAATATTTGAAGGATTACAGAAAGGATAGAAAATATAACCGTTACGAGATCCCCCCCGTTTATTTACTGATATCGGACAGCTAAATAACAATTCTTTACGGAGCAGTTGCAATTAAGGGAAAACTCAGTGTGCATGAAGAACGTACGCGCGATGAAAAACGACATAGCCATTTCGTTGTTGTGCATACATGTCATGCCATACAGGGGCGACCACACCGTACGCATACGGGCCGGTGACATGGTAAGACGACTGCGCGTCGAGAACGGCGTGGCAGGCGGAAGAACGGAACCGCAGTCCGTGTGCCTCCACAGATCTCCAAATCCGTTAGCTGGTTGCTCCCAGGGAGTCCGAAGCGCGCACCTGCACGCCGGCCGCGTGACGTAACACCTAGCAACCGAGGTGCAGTGGGTGACAGCGGGGCTAGGGCGTACTTGGGCACTTGGGCCGCCGGCGGGGCGCGTCGAGGCGACGTGTACGGGCGACTCAAAGTTGGCTAATATTTTCTAATGAGCCATCCACAAACCGTCGCCGCAAAGCGGCGTGAACGGGAGGTCCGGGGTAGACTGACACGCGTCCGTGATGCACTGGCCGTCCCCCACTTTGCGGGCGATCTTCGGTTGCCGCTCGAGGGTTGTGGCGTCATCCCGTGGAAATGTTGCAAACTCTATAAACGTGTGCTCCAACCACGTCCAAGGTCAGCGCATGTACCAAGGCACTAATGCTAACGCATTAAAACAACAGGCTGTTCTGCAAAGAAGCTTTGTCATGAGTAGTCCTCAGTCTTCACTTTCCTTACAGATTTCGGACTATGGACATAAGGAGGTTCACCATTCATCTCGCCAAGTTTTGTTCAGGAGAACGGGTCGTTGTAATTATGGGTCTCAACAAAGGCCACTGGTCTAGTTTTCAGTTTAGACTTCGTAGAGGAAGGCGGGGTTGTGTTTTTATAACACTGGCAGCTATAATACTATTAGGAGGGAGGGGGCAGCTAAAGGTTCACTCACCAGTCCACTCCGTGCAGCGGCAGTGTGGAGCGGTGAGATAGCGTGGGAGGAAGGAGCTTTCCAGAGACTATGTCAAGGATCTTAGTGATTAGAAAGTATTGATGCTTATTAAAGCAAGACTCACTCTGCATTAAAGCAACACTCACTCTGCATTGTGAGACAGATAGTATTATTAGTGGCAAGTGCATGAACGCCTTATACAGCTGAAGAGATCATGTAATAGAGGTAAGTGCTTATGAATTTAGGGCAGGTTTGTGTGTGTACAAAAAATTTGTCTTTATATTGAAATTTAAAAAAAAAATTAAGCGGGGCTTTCCGAATTTCGGAAAATAGGGAATCTATCATAAACTCTTATAAACTCCGGCTAAGAAATGAACTCCGAAAAACACCCTCCGAATTTCACGATAAAATAAACTCAGAAAGCACGGAACCCAGACATAGCCTATCCCTATGAATATTCACTGTACTTGTGTCGCTGCAAGTTCAAAGAAGAAGTGTCGTCGTTCCTTTGTCCTAAGCGTGTTATTCCTTCTGTCATCTTCGCCTTTAACCTATCCCTAACTTGAAGCTTGGCACCAAATCATTATTTCGGTCTGCAATAAAATGAGAAGACAAAGTGAAGAATCTGTGTGGTTTACACATCCTTCGCGCTAGAAGGATGTGTAAAGCACACGAGTAACAATAAAACATTTATTTCGCCATCTGGAGCACTGTGATTAAGGACTAGGGTTAAAAATGATGCACCCTGCAGTCTCAGAGACCCTGACTAAAGTCACCCTTGTTTAGGCGCGCGCTAACAAGTTGTTTCACACTTCTCAATTGCTATGGACTAACGCTGCAATAGAGTATGTCTCGTTCATAGAATTGCGCGAATATTCAAATATTAGTTTTGAATAATACACTATTTGATATTCGCTTAAAGGTGAACTGCGATATTCGTATTTTTCGAAGCGTTGATTGCGGCGTGGGCGCGCTTCTTGCCGAGCACCGGTACAGTGCAGAGAAGCAACACCCGCAGAGCTCGCTTCCATGGGTGTTGCTTCTCCGCGGTAAACTGGTGTTCGGTAAGAAGAGCACTCAACGGGGCAAACCTGCCGTGATCAACGCTTCGAGAAGTACCAACATTGCAGTCGCGCGCTTAGTAGGAAAGCACACTATCGAAGCAGGGTAATGCACGCACACGCACGCCTCGTGTACTTAAAAAGAAACCAACTTTGTGTATCTTTATATCTACACTACAATAAAATTTCCAAAAATAAACTGCAGCTATTTTGCGAGAGAACATGTTAAATGGATACTGAACCGAAATTTGGATTTCGCAAAGTAAGGCTGCAGAACTGTTGAACGGGACGCTACGAACCCCAAAACGTCACTCGTACACCGATATCTCAAAACGGATGGCCGTACTTTTGGAAAAGAAGGGCGCGATCAAGCGAGTTATTTGACGTAACTGTTCTCCGGGAGAATTTGAGAATGAGGAGAAGCGGCCTCGCTTCTCTCCTCCTCGCTTCGGTTCATCAGCTTGACGGGACGTAGCGAGGAGGAGAGAGAATGGGAATCGTGACGTGCCTTGTCTCGTCGGCCTCGTCGGCCGGGTTCAATCGCGCACTTCTTTTCCAAAAAAAATATGGCGATCCATTTGATATATCGCCGTATGAGTGATATTACTTGGTTTTGCAGCATCCGCCCGGCCTTGTTTAGTGAGCTCGAAATTTCGGTTCAGTATCCCTTTAAACAGAGATGTCCTGAAAACCTACGTTCGTTATTCATGACTTTTTTTTTTCTCATAAGTTTGAAATATAAGAAAGGATATTTGCATACAGCAAGAGGATTTATAAATCCTCCCGATTAGGTATAGCCTTTCTATAGGATTCATTGCATATCAAATGTTTTGTTCATTTGTCATTACATTGTAGGCATTGGACTTTTTGAGTTCACAGCCCATAAATCTGGATTATATTACAATTCACTTGGCTTAGAAATAAAAAAAAAAAAAAAAAAAAAACCTCACAAGTTTAGGTGGGTTTTCGTATAGGCATGGTGTGGTTGCGGAAGGCTTGGAAAATCTATTCGATATTTGATCCGAAAATATTCCATCCAGAACTACTATTCACTTCTAACTCAAAATCTTCTATTTGCACGTGCCTACGTAAATATGGAGCCTGTTAACCTGGATACCTCGCTATATAGACAACATTTGCGGGGACGAACTGGGTAAATATGTGCATATCTGTGTTGTTAATAGGGAAAACTCGCCTTATGAGGGCTTTATGTAAGTAACAAAGCTGTCCATATTAATGAGAAATCCCTTTACAAGACACTGTTGGCACAAACATGACATTGCCACTTTTTCGCATTTTACTAAGACAGAATATTCACGGAAGACAAAATTTACCGCTCAGGTTACTGCACTTAGTGGTGACTTTCCACCACACTAGCAGAATTTATGGCAATCATTTCATTAAAAGAAAAAGAAAGGAAAACAGGCATTTGAATGTCTGCACTAACAGTGTCGCACATTAGCTTCGTTCGATTTACCTGAACCTTCTGCACTGGTGCAGAAAAGTGCAGGACAGTCTACTCCTGGTATATGTATTGAGATACGACCGGAAGTACATCGCCGTACACTTTTCTGCAACAGCGCAGGTCACTCGACCGAAGCCAGTGTACTTTATTGTAGGCAGAAGCAGTGAACTGCAAAAGACAATAAACTGAAAGTATCTTTTAAGACCTACAATGCACTAATTAAGAGGGAGAAATGGCCCTTGCAAAAAAAGGAAGACATATGTTGCCTTTTTTTTAAACTTTTTCCCACGGATATTCTTGTAACGTCCAATTAATTTTTATTCATGCCTAAAATTAGCTTTCTGGTGCCTATGACCACATATAGTCTCAAGCTTTGAGAATGGACAAGTGGACAGGTCATACCTCCTGGCCCAGGAATCCTGCAGGATGAAAGATTATTGGGCAGCACTGCTCACGAGATAAGGTGAATCACAGACCACTAAAACACTTTTTTACACTCTCTCCAGTTTTTTTATTGAGAACTGGCACAAAACAGTCCTCTCCATTCCTTTGGTCAATGCTCGGATGTTTTCTTTTCGCAGCTGGTGACAGTGCATGCCCACTTCCACCATGGTATTGATGGCATTCTGGTGCTGAAGTGAATGTTGACGTCTTGAGCCGTAGCAAGCTCGGTGCAAGATGAGGACTCTTATCAGACGCTCAGCTTGATCTTATCCAGCTTGATGGATGCCTCAGCGACGGATAATGAAATATCCACTCCCAGGGGGCACCTGTTGCAAGAGTGTGAATCTCGGAATGTGCTTCAAGGTTAAGGCAGAGAAGCAGCTTTTTGTTGCAGTTAGACTCAACCCTTCTTCAACCAGAAGTTGAAAGCCTCTTTTTGTAGAAGTTGGCATTTGATGGCATATTGTTTGTTGGGTTTTAGTCAATAAAAACGACCAGTTCTAGATGGCAAGATATCCTAGTAAACTCGCAGCAATAGAAATACATGGGCACTATTTTCTCTTGGGGGAATAGGGGGGGTGCATTCTTGGGTCCCCATGACCGCTATAAAATTTGACCATTAAAAATAGTTAATTGCATAGAAATTTTGAAAGTTACAATTGTAGCCCTTTTTTTGTGCAATGTGAGTTATATTTTGATAAAAACGTCATATTTTTGGATGTAGGAGACATAGCATAGCAAACATGGTTTGAAAACACCACCCAAAGGTGTCCCCCGATGTCTGCTCCAAGGTGCAGAAAGAGGGGCGTGTCACAATCTTTTATTCTATTTTTAATAGGGAAATCAGCTGCCCATGAGTGTGTTTTCGTGTTTTATTAAGATGCTTAGAGCCTGCAGATTGAGTTATCAGCCTAAATAGAGAATTTCAGAATCCACATCAGTGCCCCTGTAAGAGAAAATCGGAGCCTATATAGCAGAAAAATAAAGGCATGACTTTTCGTGCCCCCATATGTGTATTCCTACCATTAAAAATTGTATCGCCATCATCGTCTCTCTGTTTCTGTGCCTATAAACAAGAATTGCTTATTTCTTCCAGTTTCATAGCTTGGAAAAAAAGGGAAACTGGGAAGATTAGAGTAAGTACCTTATTTTCCAACTAATATGAATATTGCTCAATTATTCAATATCCACTACCCCCGTGCTCGGTTCCAAAAAGATTAACATCTTCATAACCATAAAACTGTATACCGATAAAATAGTATTCCATATTCTAAGTGCAAATACTTTACCATTCTTAATCATTTTTAAATGTCACTAAGAACCGAGTTTTTGGAAGTACTTCAAGTATTCTTGTACATAGACTATATTTCATTCACCCCTAAACTAAGAGTGCAGTGGAAGCTATGTGCTTGTTGGGCCAATCACGCGTCTTTCTTTGGCTAAGCGATCACGCTCCCGCTTGTACCCACGCAGAGAGTGGAGTCGCGCGATGAAATGGAGGCGTTTGATTGGTCCCATGAGCACATAGTTTTGATTATTACTTGTATTCTATTCCCACTAGATTTAAAGAACATACACCGTATAGTGACACAACCATATGTCAGTCAAAATTTTGTTTAGATCAGAAATCCCGAAGTGGGGATTTGGCCTCTACTAATTGAATTCAAACCGTGCTGCCGTGGAGAAAGAGAAAATGATCAAACTACCGGAACACTTCAGTTTGCTTACAGTTTTTATTCGGTCTCCGGCTTCATTAGTTTGTTTTGCCGTTCGCTTAGGTGCAACAACTTTCTGCCGCTCACCATTTTGCTTGAATTCGTGCCTTCAGAGCATCTCAAAAGAGCTTTTTTCATCGCCCTCTTTGCGAGGAGCAGGACATCCTAGTTTTAATACCTGCTATAAGATGAACCTAGTATATCAGAAATCTTTTGTTTGCTCCACAAACAAATAGACTTGCTATCGTATAAATATGGCACTGGTACCTGGGAATATATGCTTCTCCTAATTTCCACGGGAAATACAACAGCTCAATTCCAAGCACACTTCTCAGGCTCATTCTGCAACAAGAAACTGACAAAAATGCTCAGCTCAACATGCTAAGATTCCGCTTCTTATAAAAAGAAAGGCAAGTTACTCTACCACGTTTTTCTTTTTAAGTAATGAGGTTACTTTTTATTTCATTTAGTATTTTTGCTTCATCATACATGTTAGACATAAACAAATGGAAACTAAAGCTGCCGTTAAAAAAATATTCATCCTGATCCTCCGAATCAGCACAGAATCTGTATACTGCAGCATTCTTTGGTGCCCGTAACGGGCGTTGCAGATTTCTTTTTTTTTTTTTTCTTTTTTTGGATACACAGATAAAAACTGTGAGAGAAAGGAGGAGACAAGCCAGCGTGCAGAGACATCAAAGCACTAAGCTCTAGTTGGAATGATTAGTAGGTGGAGGCAATGCCAGCTGTCTTTGTCTATCGCTGTTCAAATGCATTCAAAAGCCGAACGCCGCTCCTCCTTTGGTGCCAACATGCCAACACTGCTCCTTTGGCACAGTGGTACCGGTAGAGTGTAGGGCTTGTAATCATGGGGTTGTGGGTTCAATTCCCATCAGGGTGCATTCGCGATTTTCTTCCTTCTCAATTATGTGTTCTTTTCTATAGATTGCTTCCTGAAGTATCTGTTACGTGTTTCGTAACAGTTTCCACGGCATTACGTCACACTTTCCCCGAGGATCGCAGCCCTTGAAAACCCTTTCGTGTTAGAGGTACCAATCCTCCGCTTTTAAACCAAGCACCAAGGTCGACCGCTGGCAATTTGAAGTAGATAAAATAGAAGGGAATGCCAAATTCGAAGCGAACAATCAAAAGTCTGGGGTATTGTATGGCCATAACCACTGGCTACAAAAAAAATGGGGGAAGTGCAAACATTCTGCTTTCAAAGCTTCAGTTGACTAACCAAAATAGAACCTTAAAGAGAAGTCAAATTTTCTATCTCGCAACTCAACAATTTCTTTTCATGTTTTTCTTTCTTTCTTTTATTACATTGTCTGAAAAATCTAAGGACAAAAATACTAATTTAAGCATTAAAAGAAGAAAAACGGTTTCTTCCATAAAGTGTCACCTGTTGAGGAAACGAGAATCAATTGAAATCTCTTTTGTTTTAGGATGCACATATAAGTATACCAGACATCCTAATGAAAAGATTCCTCGTCAAATTGTATAGATTTGACGAGGGATTCAACAAAAGATAAATCTGCTAGAGAAACGGTGTCTTCTTCATGGTGCAAAACAAAAACAGCTGTCATTATGACAAGTGCGTGGACAAGATTCTGTATGTACTGGTGCTTTAATGAAAAAAACATCACTGTTCAATGGTACTTGCGTTCAGAGCGACAGCATTCATATGAATGCATATATAATGGCTCATTCCTTTTAATCGCACAGCTGCTTGTGCCACTTTGAACAGCAGTGTTAACACTGCTGCTAGCAAATGCAAGATGACAATGTGCCAACACATAAAGTTGTTTTGTTGTTCAGCACTAAAACAATGTGCAGACCCAATGCTTTTTGCAACACTGAGCTGGGCATCCTTGCAAGATTTTACAACAGGCAAAGTAAGCTGCCTTCCCCATGGTTTTCAAAGAAACCACTTGTTACTACAGGACAATGCAGTAAGCATGCACTAACCTGGGAGTGATGTCTAAGGAATCAAAGTTTTCAGTTACGATGCCAGATGCTGCCCTCCAACGCTCCACTCCATTCCTGGAATGTCAAAGAAGAGACAACTTATTTACCCTGAAGAAATTTTTCTCACCAAGAACAGCTACAATCCCATCCCTTAGCTGTAAATGCATAAAACACCAATGACCAATGTCTCATCCAAAGGTTCGACTCAAGCTGCCTTAGACCAGATTTTGGCGTTGTCAAAATTGAGCGGAATGTAACCTCTACTTCGTTTCACTCCTCAGTGGACGCTACGAGCCATCCCAGCCGATTCAGCACTGTGGACAAAACACATGATTACACGCCCGGCGAGTCGTGATGCCCTTCCAGGAGGTCACGTGACACTCACGCAGCATTATGTCGACTTCAATGGCTCGTAGCATCTGCTGCTGTCCATTGTAAGGTGAAACAGAGTAGAGGCAATAGGAGGCAACAATATGTGAAAGTATAATTTGCCCGTAAGCTAAGCTTCCATACTTTAAAAATAACACTACCTCCTTCCCACTGTTACACCCCATCTTCGCATTAGAGAGGATGCAAAAAACTAAAAGAAGATTCTTCGTAACACAGCCGACGAGCCACAATGCCAATCCACTAAACTCACCAGGCAATCATGAGTCCATTGTCCGAACACAGCTTGGGCAGCGTGGGGACGTACGCCACGTCTAGCTTCTCGCACAGCTGGGAGAGCAGGCGCCCCAGGTAGGCGTTGGCCGCCACACCCCCCGCCACCACGAGGGTGGGCTTCCCCTCTGGAAGCAGGCCCTGCTGATCGCAGAAGGCAAGGGCGCGCTGCGTACGCCGTGTAAGGTGGTAAGCCACTGCGTGCTGCGTCGAGGCACACAAGTCGGCGATCTCGGGTAGCAGCGCGTCTGCTTCCAACCCTGGAAGGCAGGAAAAATTGCCCGGCATTAAAACATTCCATCAAATGCAACAAAGGTGTGACAATAATGCGGTTTTTAACGGGGCGGCACCACTAGTTGTCGGAATGGTGTGTGACGTGACACAAGGCGAAGCAATTACAAGTGCATAAAAGACTTCTCTTTTTCTTCATCCATGTACTTCTTTTTTGGGGGGACATTCCATCACTTTCCCCAGATGCCGTCGTGCGTACAATCTGACCGCAAAATGCCTCCTCGCCTACTGTACTCCGTCCCAGCGTAACTTGGCAACCGACGAAGGCTACTGTCCCAGTGTGCTGATCAGCGAATCAAGTGAGGCAGACAACAGCGTCTCAATGAAGTACTCTCCTCCTACAGAGATCTGATACCTGCTTTGATCTGTCACCATGATTGGCTCAAGGGTGCTGTAGTGTTTGCTTTTTGCCAAGTTGCAGTGAAACGAAGTGTAGATTACTCTATTAATACACAGTTCCTATCCTACTACATAGCCCCTGTCCCTATGCAGTGGAGGTGGAAAAGAGGAGGAAGTCTTAGTGCATTCTTAGTGCACCCCCCTTTTCCATGTGGCACTATGCCATTGACTGTGCATGCTACGACTTCAAACCAGCAGCTGGGCATCATTGCTGACACACTCCCCCTTGGACTTCCTACGGCGCGACTGACACATGAGCAGCGAGGCAGCAAGCTTTATCTCCAAAGTTTTATAATACAGTTCATACATAAGTTCAGAAGCAATCATTTACATTTGTTTTAACAACATTAAATAGTCATATCAAGGCAGTGAAGAACATACTGTTTCTTCATCGCCATCATCATCATAAGAACATCACCACGCACTTCGGATGTAAGGAGCAGATCTCTCAGCTAAAGCATATAGAAAGCAGTCCAGCTGGTACGGTGGCAGGGCATCAAGTTGCGAACCACGAGGTTTTGGATTTATTTCCCTTTGGGGGCGAGTACAAATTGGTCTACTTTCGAGCAAGGCCCTGTGTACATTGTTTTGCTTATGTTGCCAAGATAACAACACACGCTGATGGCATGCCTTGCCATGAGATACGTGCAGACACACTCCCAGATGGACAGACAGACAAATTTCTGGGATTGAGGCCCTCAGTGATAACTAGGGTTGTGTGTTTTCGGTAAATACCGTTAAACCCCCAAAACTAACCCCTCGAGTAGGTTTGCTCTTGAAATCAAAGAAAACAAAAAAAAAAGGACGCCGTTTCTGGATGAGAAAAACTCGAGCTTCACGGGAAGAAAATTTTTGTCTACAGCTAACTTTCTGATAACTTGGAACACAGCGCCCAATGAAGTGTCCGCAAGGCTTCTTCTTGCTTCAGAATGTTGCATTATATCTCTTTTCTATTTTTTTATCGGTATGGGAATGTTTTCTAAGTATTTGGGCCATGCATATGTGCCCTGGAAGTTGGGAAATCCCATGTCCATGTCCTATTTTCTTCAACATTAGTCTCGAAAAACCCCGAATTTTTGTAAGACACAGAAAATTTATAATAAAATAACCCTAAACCTGTGCAGAAAAATAAACCCCAGAAAAACAGCCCCAAATAAACCAAAGCTCTCAGAACGAAACCCAGTGGTATATCTGAATATTATAAGAGCTATGCAGAGTGCAAGCGCCCGCCTTACACACCATGCAAGCAGCACCACCACAGAACTAGCAGCGATCCCCGCTTGCCCTCGAGGCCGTTCAGAAAGGCAGCACCAGGGGCAGCAAGTGGGTAATCTTGCGCGACTCACAAGCCGCGCTCTCCATGCTAGATAACTTGGAGGGGGCACCACCACTGGCACGAAGAATCGCAGCAAAAGTGACGGCATTGGAGCAACTCGGACACCAGTTCAGGTTTCAGTGGCTGCCAAGCCACTGCGGCATCAAGGGAAACGAGATCGCTGACCAGATAGCCAACTTCGCCCATGATGAGCCTTCTACGCCCACATCTAAGGTGCCCCCGTCGCGGACGCCAAGCTCCTTGTGGCGAGGGAGATCACAAGTCAGCACCCAGACGCAAGGATGGCACAAGGCGGCCACCCGGCCCGGCTCCCAGCATGCATGAACAGGGCAACGACGGCTGTCTTCCACTGACTTCGGACGGGCAGCGCCCTCACCCCCGCATGGATAAACAGGATGAGAGCCTCTAGGAGTCCAGACTGCAACACCCGTGGGACTCGCGCAGATGACGTCCATTTCCTCCTACAATGCACCCTCTACGACACAGAGAGAAGGGCACTCCAGGAAGAGTACAAAAAACTCAACCTACCCTACAGCTCTATGGAGGAGATCATCAGACCACGAGGCATAAACTGCAACAAAAAGAAGGCACTGAAGGCACTGGAGAACTACTTGGACGAGACAGGATTAATCTCCCTCCTCTGAAGAAAACAGCCACAAAGAGAGAAATGGTGACAACAGCCTTTCCGACAGACTGACTCATCAATGCTACTCCCTGTAGTCGAACTAAATCAGGCAACTACCCTCTTTCGCTTACATCGGACTTCCCCAATCCCCATCTAGGCGATTGGAACCTATTCAAACCAGCCCCGCCAATGGCTACGACCATCACAGACCCCCTGCCTGTAAATAAGATTTCGACGGTTAGAGAAAGACGAGAAAACCCCTGCCCTTCCCCTCTCTTCTACTCCCCGTTTTCCCCTCTTTATTTCCTGAGAACCCTTCCCTCCGACTAAGACATGGGCGTCTAAGTACGCCCCAACAACAGTCGGTTTCCGAATCGCCCTCCCCAAAATGCATACTACAGTGTAGACCGCATATAACGTATGTCGCGGGAGTCGCGAAAATCCGCAGTATAAGCGGTACGGCGCTATAACCAAAACATCAATTTTTCAGGCCAAAATACATGCCATCAGACAACTTACCTTCGTAAAACAATTTATTTTGTGGTAGATGAAAAATAAAGCTTAGTTTGAGGAAAGTCTTTTTTTCACCAGACTAATACACTTCTCTCTCAAGTGTGTCACACATTTTGAAAGAAATGAGCGACTTTTGCCTGGCGCAGCCTTTTAACGGCGTCGCGGGTTGCCGACGGACGTTGTGAGCGTTCAGGATTGCTAACCCTAATCACTTTTCTCCGGTGATGAAAACGCGTAAAAATTCGCATCCTTTAAACGCTACGCGGCAGTAATACCTTCAACTTGAGCACAGGCATGAAATGCTCCAAATAAGAAACCCAGGCGACGTTCGAAAACACAAACGCTTAGAAATCACCACTGTAGTCGAAGTAAACAAACACGACGACACGGGCGTTTCTGCCGTCTTGAGAGTGCCGCCACAACATTGCCGCACGAGTAGGTGGATCTTCCCTTCTAGTACGTGCTGGGTTATCATAGCGACACACAACGAAAATTCACAGTCAAGGATAGCGCTTTTACGCGGAACGATGAGCTTCCACCACGCCGTCTACGTCGACGATCACAACCGACGCCATGTTTGCGGAAAGAAGCAGCCGGCTCGCGACCGGCATGCGATGCGCGCGAACACTTCTCCTCGACCTGCGATTGGTCTGTCGTTGCGGTTGTTTCCAATGCAGCGGAGGGACGCACGAACGTGGACGACACGTGCGTGCGTACCCCCGTCGCTATGGCAACTGAAGCCTCTCTCTTCGCTTCTCCCCGCTCCTTCTAGCAATCTCCTTGCCCCGCGAGTGCCGCTTGCGGCTCGCGCTGTTATCTAGCGTCGCACAGGGAAGCGTGCTCGCTGCGCCGGTCAGTCTGCGCGGTCGCCGGGCTGTTGCAGAAACCGCACTATAACCGGTATTTCCCTTTGTGCGCCTGCATTTTAAGCGGTATGTAATTACATGGAGTTCTATGGGAGGCGAACCGGTGGTTTAACAAAGCCGCGTTATACCCGGTCCTGCACTATAAGCAGTTACGTTGTAAGTGGTCTATACTGTACTACTGTCTGCTTTTTGACCAGGAGTTGCAGTGACATCAGAATGCCAAGCTCTGATTGGCTCCGATAGGAAGGTTAGTGGGCAGATAGAATTGAGAAAACTAGAATTGAGGTCTACCCACAGTCCCTCCGTCAGAGCCAATCAGAGCCTGGTGTTCTGGCGTCAGTGCAACCCCTTTACAAGAAGCAGATGAACTTGGAGTCCAATTAGTGTGCACCCAAGCACTTAATTTCATTGTTCTCCAGAATACACACACCCACATGCAGTACGAGCCACAATAACCTATCTGGTCTTTCGCTACGACTGCAGTCCTCACAATTCCCATTTGCATCGAGTAGTTCGGAGACGAATCTCTAAAGTTTAAAGTTCGGGGCACAGTTTAGAACAGGGCATCTTTAAAGGCTGGCAGGTCAGCCAAATAAGTGTGGTGGGCTGCTCATGCTTATGTGCATTCGGTCAATCACCAGACCAGCTACCGAGGGTTGGGTAGCGATAAAAATGTTTGAAAGTATAATTGGGCAGTCCGAGGGGTAGCCACCCTAATAATGCCAATGTCACCTGAAACAGGCAATGGAATGGCAGCACTAAGTTTACAGGGGGAACTGCACAATTATTTTGACAAGACGAGTAGCCTAGAGTACAAGCCCTCACGCAATTTAAGAACTGTTCGAAACCTAGCCTTCCCCCATGAGGTCATTACCAGTGGAATATTTATTGTAACCATCGTTATTTCATACGCTGAATTTCAGCAAGGTGCCCGCCCCTACTTCTTTCGATCTAGATAAGCATGGTAAATGGCAAGCGTTTGCGCATCAATACTGTGTGATGCCCGTTAACCTTACAACAGTCGGCGCAATACATGTATGGTGGTGATTACACAAGTGGCCATGTGAAACTGCAAGCACCGCGGGAGGTGTAGTTATTTTTTATGTCCTTGGCAAACTATAAATGTTATACTCACAAGGTGTTTCACTTCGCTGTGGTTGTTAATGCTGAAATTAAAAGCGCCACGCACGTGATACGTGTGAGATGGTCGCTTCGCATGTCAGCTGCTCTGGCGGTAACGGCAATTGGAGAGCCGGCTCTTCCAATTCAGACTTTTAACGCTTCTAAGAATTTAATTCGGAGGATGAGAGCTCAGTTTACCGCACGATAAAAAAGCTCTGTAAAGTAGCTCTGGTTCAAAATCTGAAACTAACAGAATGTCGGGGAAACGCAAGCATCAAAACGAAACCAAACAAAAGAAAGGTGACAGCTTTTCGCCTTCAATATTTCTATTTGATACTTCTAAACCTAAACAGCTTGCAAGTATTGTATGTACTCCTGCTAGATTATTTTTTTTTATACTATTTCTTTGGAAACAAAATCCAACTACTGGGGAAACATCTTTCAGGAAAAAAAAAAACTCGACCATCGAAGGGAAGTGTTAAAGAACCCAGGCTGGCTGTCATACTGCACTGGCCAAATATTGCCTCTACAGCGGAAGCCAGTGTAGCCACAACTCGAAGGCAGACCGACCTTACACCGTCTGCACATTAATGTCCAATTTGCTTCAGCTTGACTTTCAGCAAATCTAATTTGCCCCACTTTACCCTCACCGCAGGTGGTGACGACATAGTAAAACCCACCGTGTTCCTTCTCCAGCGCCTCTATCTTCCTGTAGACGGAGTTCTTGAGGCCCGAGAAAGAAAAGTTGCACGTCCGGTAGCTCGTCAGGGGCTCTGGGAAACGGTAGGCCAGAGGGTTTCCACTGTCCCTCTCAGCCAGGAATTCCAGGGCACGTCCCCCGCTCAGTCCCCGGCATTCCGGAAGGTTGGAGAGCTTCAGCCTGCGAGCAACCTGACGCAATGCAACAATGCTCTTTACATGAGCTGCCAGTGGAATGATGACTGAGGCAGTTTCTGCCATAGCAAATTTTGTCACCACAAGCGGCATTGATCCATGTGGGAGTAAAAAAAATCTTTTTAATAAAGTATTATGTAAAAAAAACAAATTTTTCAAACATAGTTTCAATTTTTTATAGCAGATATATAGCACCTTTCATGTGCCATTTCAATCATTCCGAAATATTAGATCTCTAAATCCCTAGATCTCAAAATCTTTATCCCATTAGATCTAGGGATCCTTATCTCTTGAGATCTAGGGATCGCTAGACCCCTAGATCTCAAAATTGTCTATATTTTCGACAGGTCTACCAGGTTTGGTAGAAGAGTAGTTGCGTGCAGCGGCTTTCTTCCTGGCGGCATCTCCAAACCCCCCTTTGTCCGTTGGGTTCCCCGAGCGATCCGATGGGTCGACTCACAACGCCGGCAGTACAACTATGGTGCTTCAGTCTGTCCCTAGGAGAAAACATTGCCATAGCGTGGCACAAAGATTCCAGACCAATCAAAGAATTGTGGCATAAGTCGGTCGCTATAGTCCACACCTCCAAGAAAGTCAAGCCTGCAGCACTAGATTTTCTAAGTCACCTATCGGACACCGGTGCAAGGCTCAGGTTGAACACGAGTGCTGTGTTGCCATTCAAATGCGACTTATATCCTCACTTACCCTACAGCTTGTCCCGCCCGAAAAAAATTCAGAGGGTTCTTTCTTATTGCAAAAATGAACTCTGCATCGCCGAATGCTCATTCTCCACCCACATGTAGCGCTAGTTGTTGGATTCAGATGCCAAAGTTTGAGAACTAACCGGTACCTCATTCAAAAGTGACGAGTGATTTTCAAAAATTTCAAATGGAAAAATGGCGGCCAACGGAGCTCTCGAACTGCAGAGAGCTGAATGGCGCCAGCTACAAAAAACGGGCAAAAACAGGCCTCATTTTCCCATTGATATTTTCTGAAAACTCACTTATTCTTTTGATTAGGACAAAGGATACTTCTGAAACTTCAGCATCTGGTTCAGACCGCCAGGGCTACATTTGGGTGGAGAATGAGCGTTTGGCGATGCATAGTTTATTTTTGTGGTGAAAACAACCGTGTAAACTTCTTTTTGGGACACCCTGTACAGGATTTTTTTCAGCCAAACGCTGAAACAGTGCTTGTGTCCAGGCTGTGCCCCGCTCTGGTCTCCAGCAGGCGACTTAGAAAATCGGGCACTTCAGCCTTGCTATGTCGGTGTTGCTACACTCCATTCAAAACAAAAGTGACAGGGCGATGCAAGCTATGGGCCCATTGGACCAGACGACTGGCTGTCTTGCACCACACTGTCATGTGCATACTCAAGTGCAGAGAGCTGGCACAGGCAATTGATTGGACTGCCGAGCATCTAGTGGTGGACATTGGCTCCCTGTCGCCATCCAACATGTTCCTATCGCAATATCTGAGCTGCAACAGTTAGGTTGCAGCACAGATAGGCTTAGTTTGACAAAAGATGTTTGTTTGGACACCAAATTGGTGTATGAAAACGTGTTGCAACTTCGAAATCAGCCATACTCTGGCCTTGTATGCTAATCGTTTGATAAACTTTCTTTTTAATACTTTAGCACACTCGTAGACCGGGTGACCAATTCTGCAAAGTGTCACGTAGCAACCGAACGGAAGTATGAAAACAAAGAAGTTAACAAAAAAAGAAAAAGAACAAACCAAAAAAAAAATAAAAAAAACACAAGCAAAAAAAGACAAATGTATAATATGTGGCCATGCAAAATTCTTATAACAGAAATAAAGGCATGTCATTCCAGACTCCGAAACGAGATGTCTAACCTTCACTAATAAAAATTATCTATATTTTTTCCCAAAAAAAGAAAAGGGCATTGTGCTAGCATGAGAGCATTTACATGTTGCACACAAAATTTGGGAAGCACACCTAAAAGAACCATCAAGTTTCTCTTCGTGATTTACGCCCACTTTGTATTGGGTGCATCCAAAGTAAGTCCAGGCTTCGACGAGAACCTCAGTAAGTATAATTATAACGGCGCAACCGTTAGGCAAAGGCAAAGGTGTGAACTGCTAGACCATTTTGTGCATTGCAGTTAATTTTCTTTTTTTATGTGATAGCAGCTCTAAAGGGTACCTACTGTACTCATTGGTTTAGACCCAAGACAGGAGGAGATCATATGTGGCCGGGAAGGGCTGCTGTGGTTAGTGAAAGATGTTTTAACAGGACGGGTGACATCGGTAAAAGACAGCTGCAAACATAAACAGCAGGCACTGTGGCATGAACTGGAGGAGGCGACATAAGCAAATAAAAGCTGTGTAAATCAGGAGCCATCGTGTGGCGGCGTGATGCAAGCGTTTCGCAGGAGGAGCGCGCAGTGGCTCGGTCTTCAGCATGGCACGAGAAAACTGTGCCATGCTGAGGCAGGTCAAGAGCGCCGAGCTCAACGGACTTCTAAAACACGCCGAAATTGCCGAAGCAATGTGCAACACAGCGGTGCGTAGCTTGCGCGACGTTGGGAAAGGCAATGGCAGTCATTGAATTAAGGCACCACTGTACAATCGGCCTTGAAAACTCGGTAGGCGAAGGATCCCAAATGCTATCGCATTACGTCTTATTTGGCAGTTACTTAAAGGGCAACTCCGCTATATTCCGAAGATTTCGGGATAATGATTGATTTTGAATTAAAAAGCCCTAGTAAAACACACTACGTCGTTCGCTTCGCGAAAAATGAGATATATATTTTTAAATCTGATTTCAAACATGAGCAGAAATCGAAACCGAAACTTCGGCTCCGCCCGGCAACATTGGCCTCGGGTCGCCAAGTACATGGCCATCACGTGGTACGAGATGTCACGTGATCCTCGGCCCAACGACGGGCGGGATTGGGGCGGGCGTGTGGCAGGCGCGAGTGTCGTTTGCACCGCACTTTTCGCCACATTTTGGTGTCTACGGCATTCGACAACGTCTGCACAACTGCGGCATAAGTGTGCGCGCACGTGGTGTCCGTAGTGTGGACAAAACTTCGAGAGACAATAATCACAATCGGTGAGACGACGACAGCGGTTGTGACGCGGAAGACAGTGGTAACGGCGGGACCACGGCGGGCGGCCGGACGGCTCCCAAGAAACGCGCTGCGCAGGCGCGTTACGCCAATCACGTGGACACTGCTGAGCGCCGAGAGGCAACGTTGCTGACGTCATGCGCTACGCTCGCCCGGAGAAGTGAAAACAAGCAAAAGGGGGCCATATAGATGGCGTTTAGCTCAATGTTGGCTCCGCCCATGCCGTAGCCTTGACTGCGCTGTTAGCTGCGCCTGAATTCACCCGCTCAAGTCAGCCAATTTCGGCAACTTGGCGAGTTGCAAAGTTTGCCGGGCCGTTTAAGAAACATTTAGACAGAACTGCATCGTAAGATTTTACGTGTGGTCTTCCTAGGCGATACTGAAGAGGATTGCATTGTTTTTTCAAATCCAAAAATGAAGCGGAGTTGCCCTTTAAGAGGAGGCATACATATTTTTTTTGTCTGTTTGTTTTTCCTGCAGATATTCTGCATACATTGTACACAAAAAGATAGCTTGGAGCATCTGTTTGAGCAGCACCTTGTCAAAAGCTTCACCAGGAGCATCGTCCATAGTTTGGCCCAGGAGGAGGAAGTCGTCAATGTCCCGGACAACTGCCAGTTGACAATGGCCTCCAGACACCAGAAGAACGAGGTAAGGGAAGTCCACTCTGCACAAGATATTTTCGTCACTTTTTACACCAGAAGAGTGTCTGCCATTAAAACTCATGCCGACTGCTGAAGTTGATAATCGCATTACAAGAAAGTAATACGGATCGTTTGCCGCCTTGGCCCTGCTTCTTTTCTTTTTTTAATTTTATTAATCTCCGAATCCCAACAATAATCTCGCAAAAGATGACAGTCATAGAGTGTGTTACAAACTAAAGGCGAAACCTTTCGTACACGCAGATTGTACCAAAGAGAATGCAGGCGAGTTTTTCTGAGAATTCCTCGATTATCCAAAATTTCCAGGCTGATTAAGAATTTCTGAGAAATCCACAATGTCTCTGTTTTCTCCATTGCAAGACACCTTCCTTATGCCGCCGATTTCACCGCAGCAGACTTCACAAATGGAAACCAGGAAGCTTTCAAGTGACCCAGGACAGCTCGTAATTTAACCAGTCAAGATTCAGATGGTTCCATTAACTCTCCTTGTAGGCGAAATCGGAAAACTGTAGTCCTTCCAAGCTAACATACTATTACAGTCTGAATTGAAACTGTCATACGAGGGAAGGAAAGTATGGCAATCGGGAAAATCTCGTCTAAGCCAAGTCTCACCGATTACAGCTGCACAACAAAAGAACATGTCCGAGGCTCTTCCTCTTATTCGTAACGCTTTGCACGTCGATACAAATAAAGCTAGCTTCTTTATCCACTCTAGCTCGTCAACAATAACCATCATATCATTTGCAACCTTTGAATGGGTTTGAAGCATGAGCTTTCGTGCAGCACGAAGAGAGGGCGAACAAAGCCGCGACGTCTTACCGCTGCACCAGTCGAACGGCCAGTGCGTGTGCTTCCATGTGGTGGATGGGAATGAGCGGCTTGCCGTGCTTGGCGGCCAACTGGCGGGCAAAGTTGAGGCCCACCAGAAGCGACAGGGACATGCCGGGCCGCACCGTAACCGCAATGGCGGACATCTCCTGCAAGGAGTAAATCCACCGTTTTCGAAATAACGGATGCCACCCGACAGAAAAACTGAGTTCGAGGATTCCCGGAACGAAACGGTGTGTGCCATCAGAAAAGAAGAGGTAAGGAGCTTCATTACTTTATGAACTTGGAGCATGTTCTAACCCAGAATAGGTCTGTAGCTCTCAAGTCTCTAACGGCGCCCCTGGCGAGCAAAGTCGGATATTTCCGGTTCGCATTTTCGGCTGTGTGTCGTCGCGCTCGCCCGGGTCAATATAAATTTGGGAAATTCAACAATAAAAAAGTGAAAGCCGTTTACAACTCCCTGTAACGCCGAATTGGTGCGCAGCTCTTGAGGAGGAGGAGGGAAGGGTACTGAGGGCCACGTGTTCTCGGGGGGGGGGGGGGGGGGTCACGTTACATAAGGGAAAGGGTCACGTGACCCCCCCCTAGGTCACGTGACCTTGGGGGAGGGTCACGTGACCAAAATTTCCTCGCTAGATTTAGCGGGGAAATTTTTTTGCTAGATTTAGCGGGGAACTTTTTTCACTAGATTTAGCGGGGAAATTTTTCCGATAGATCTAGCGGGGAAATTTTTCCGCCAAATTTAGCGGGGAAATTTTTCCGCTAGATCTAGCGGGGAAATTTTTCCACTAGATTTAGCGGGGAAGTTTTTCCACTAGATTTAGCGGGGAAATTTATCCGCTAAATGTAGCGGGGAAATCTTTTCGCTAGATCTAGCGGGGGAATTTACCCATAATGCACCGCAAGGTTACGCCGACATTGACGCCGACGGCGACGCCGCTCAAGCCGGAAACGGGTGCCTAAGAGCTGCGCTCTAAAACTAAATGGGCCAAAATCACTGCTGCCGCCACACTGACTCTCGAAGAAATGCATTAGCTTTTCGTGCAGCGGTTATATACAACAAAGCATGGTGAATGCAGCCTCTCGGCACTTTTCTGCAAGCTGAAGATTCCCGAAATCTCTGTTCTCCATGGTGCAAGCAGATCAGTTCACTAAGCAGGTGCATGAAGGACGGCAGCAACACAGGATTGAATGGTTATAGAGAGTGATGGTGTGACATAACACGAAGCAACCGAGGTGCAGTGGGGAACAGCGGAGCTAGGGAGTAGCTGGGCTGCCGGTAGGGCACTGCGAGGCGGCGTGTACGGCTGGCCCAAGGTGGGTAGTACTTTGTAATGAGCCATCTGCAAACTGTCGCCACGAAGTGGCGTGAATGGGGGTGCCGGGGTGGGCTGACACGCACCACAGTGCTACATCCGCCGTACCCCACTGCGCGGTTCCGAAATTGGTGACGGGGGACGTCGCCGGCGATCTTCGGTTACTGGGTGTTACATCACGGTGTTGCTCCCCGCAACCAGCCAATCCAGCGTGGCCTTCGTTGCTACGCATCATATCGCCATGCCTCTCAAAATATGCACCCCACCGCCACTTGTCCGCGCTCATAAAAGGTGCTTCCTAGCCAGTCTCCACAGTCAGAGGGGCTGTGGCGCCATCCCGTGGCAATGTTGTAAACTTTATATACATCTGCTCAAAACTGGCCCAAGGTTAGCGCATGTATCAGGGTACTAATACTAACACATTATAAAAAGTGAAAAGGAAACCATTTTAGTGTTTTGATTGGATGCTGAAGGTGTGAGGTTTACCATTTTTTCATTGATTTGAAAGACCATTTAGTTCCTCCAAATCTTCCATTAGTGCACGTGGAGAGGTGCCGGAGACGCTGGCAGATGCTTGTATATGTTTGTGAATCGTGCATGATAAGACACAAGGATGCAGCTTGATATCAGCAATAAATGGTCACAGCATCTCTTTGGGGGATTGTCATTGCAGCTCAATGAAGCCAGCAGGATCTAGTTCCCTTGGCAGAGGAAATGCTCGCACTCGCTCAAGTTCACCCCCGAGCATTTTTATGCACCACACAGGCTCCAGCCGGTGTGGCACGAGGCGGCAGCAGGGAGAAGGGGGAGGAAACAGGGAAGATTAGAGGAGTGAGGGCTCTTGCGCAGCAAACGGGCCACGATGGACGCTTGCGGTGGTGACGACCACAACTGGGGAGACAGGCCGGTGATGTGGTCTGGACTAATACCCCGGGTCCTATGCTCGACAGCGATGTCACCAGGATGCGGTGTGGGCTAGCCAGAACAATCGGCATGCAGCATACAGTGGCGGCACACCCCTCCCAGGCTTCCTCGATGACCTTACCGATCCCAAAACCCCCCCGCAGAATGAGCTACTATGCATTGCGGTGTCACATTCATCTGGAAACAAATGACTAGAGAATCAGAATAGAACCTTACAAAATTGGCGGCCCAATGTGGGGCCTGATCTATATTTAGGCTAGCCTTCCGATTCCTAGCCTGTTTCCGGTTGGATTAGGGCATTGCTACCACACTCCTTCTGGGGGCGATCCTCATTGTAGTAAGGCCACACGGGATCCGACATGATTGTTTGTTCAATGAGGAAGCACAAACCTAGACGTTGTCTTTGCTGAAAATCCTTTGTCCCAGTGAGCCGGGAGTTTATTTACCCCTGTAGTGAGGAGCACCTTGATTATCCACTGTTTAGCTGCACCATTGGATGCTGGCAGGTTTATCCTTCAGCCTCTTGATGCCACACAAGTGTTCAATGCGCATGGAAATTACCCCTCCCCTCAAGGCCTGCAGTGTTGGGTGTTCTGTCGACCAAACCACGCCTCTCGTCATCCACGTCCGATGGGTGAGGTGCCAGTTCATTTATTAGGTAATATGATGCACGCAACCACCTTTGTTCACATATCGTTGCAATGTCTTGGATCGACTGCTTTCGATTGCTCGCGTTACAGAGGGTTCACTCTGAGAGTTCGTCAAAACTTCCATTCCTGACGGTGGTTGCACGGACTGCATTGGGAAATTATTCTCGAACTGCATTTTGTCCGGGGAGCTTAACGTCCAAGTTTCGTTGCACACTCACTCCCAGCTGGCCTTGCATGAGCTGTCGGTATGGTTTTGAGTTCTGTGCATCCACAACGTTTCTGGATAAATTTTACGCTCTTGTGGTTCCGACCGCTGTGATGCAGTACCTCGTGGCCAGAGGCAACAGCTTGGGACTAAATACACCCAAGTGTTGCCGGATACACGATGCCTGAATGCATCGGAATTCCAAGAGTCACTGAGTTTCCATGCCCACTTATTAGTGGCTGTGTGTAATGCTCCGCAGTGTCCAGGTTCATACGATTATCCTGTTCCGTTCGTCCCTGCCTGCACAGCCGTAAGGTTGATCCCGCTTAACTGCGTGCAGTTTTTGCCGGATCCTCACCACCATATTGGAGTTTGTGCTTCGGGCGGAAGTCACTCTCAAATTGCTGTCCCCATGCCCAGAGAAGGGGCAGTAAAGTGCTTGCCCTGCATCGCCGATAGGTATGGTATTGGTTCTCCGCAGTATTTGTGTCCACGTTGAGATGGGCGAGCACGCAAAGGGATAACGGATTAGATTTAGGGGGAAAGACGGCTACGTGGGGAAGGAGCTGTTCTCGTGTAGCAAAAAGCTTCACAGGGAATGGACCTTTTTCCAGCAAGCTTCTGAGCACGTGCACACCCTCTCCCCTAACCTTGCTTTCGTTGTCTCCATTTTCGCAGGGCACCATGACTCATGACCAACATTGTCAGTGCCTACCTTTCCACTTATTTAGTCATTTTTTAAGATTCTTTTTCTGGGTACAGGTAGCATGGGGCATAAAAAGCAATGAAAACTGATATCACGGCACAATGTCAATGTGTTTTGACAAGCGGAGTCCTATTGGGCTGCTCTTCTGTTTTAGTTCTGTTTCAACAGTGAAAATAATGATAGGACGGAAAGATTAGAAAGACGACATGGTTGTGCGGCCATCGCCCATTACAACGAATCCCACTGTGCAATCACTACAATGGCTCACTTTTAGTCAAACTCATTCTTGTTAAGCAATGAGGTCTCAATCATAATATATTCTTCTTTTTTTTATTTTTATGCATTACGTTTGTGGCATGCACGTGGAAGTACCCTTGCAGGCTTGCAGTCTCTTGGTGCTCGAGAAGTAAGTAACGGTTAGATTGCGAGCTTGCTAAAGATACCTTCGCGCCGCTTTCTGCTTGCAGCCTTACGGTGCCAGTTGTTTCTGTTTGTCGCTCTAGTGGGACTGGGCCATTACTACACTGAACCACCACCTTGAATAATCAAGGCCTGTCAACAGCCTCTTCCATCTACGCAATGACATCACACTCGGATTTCACCAACTTGGCAATTGGACGCGAGCCCGATGCCGAGCGTCCTTCGAAGCGCTGATTGGACGCGAGGCCCGGCCGAACGCGCTGACACAGCAATCGTGTCCAATATCCGAGTCTGCGCTCGATTTCACTGTGATGACGTTGAAATGCTAGCGCACGGGCTTTGATTATTCGAGGTGATGTCGACTGGCTCACCTCGGCAGGCACCGGACACTGTTTGAGGGCTCGTTCGGCAACGCGGTCAATGTGCTGTTGGTGCAGATCCCTCGCGATCGGGGGGATGATACCGCCATACCTGCGAGAAATGTCCGCATTACTCGAGCCTTCGACATCAGCAACCCCTTCCGTCAACGTACTCGTTGTGCGTCTCGAGTTGAGAATGGCTGGACTCCCCGAGAACGTTGCCCTGGTCGTCGACAACGCCGATCGCTGTATCGTCGCAGCTGGTTTCGATGCCTAGGATGACGGCATTAGATCTGGTGGCCTGGCTTCGAAAAGCTTGCCTGTCGCTTCTCAGAAGCTTTCTTACGTACGAAATGACACTGTGTTTGTTCGGCAGGGCACCGCGCAGCTTCGCACAGGAACAAAACATCACTACTTCTTTCGGCGTGCTGCGTGGTATCAAGAGCTAGAAGCGTTCATAGCAACGACTGAGCCAACTGAGCCACTTAGCAACGATGTATGAAGATAAGTGGATGATATAGATAAAAAAAAATGGAAAGCAGAACTGAATAAAAATATCAGGCGGTAGCTTGCGCCTTCTAGCGAAAAAACTTTTTTTTGTACTTTGGCGGTTTTTTGGGAGTGACCGCCCTGATTAAAAAGGGTTCTGTTGCAACTAGGGGTGTCGCGAACCGGCCGAGGTCGAGTTCGACCAGGTTCGACTTTTTCGAACTTTTCGTGGAAATTTCGACGAACCTTGTATAGAGGTTCGACTCGTGTGCGCATCCGCGACAGGCTGGCCAGTTGGCTTCGGATTGGATCGTAATGGCTAAGGGATGAATTAAGGGCACCGCTGATTGGTTATTTCAGTTAATACAGTACAAAAAAATTAAGCTATTATCGTCTTCAGTGATTAGAATTGGTTTCTTTTAATTCCAATTGTTCATAAAATAAAATAACCCTTTGCATAAAAATAAATTCTCCAAACCTAGACATGCGTGTATTAAGGTCTGGCCACACTGTCCAAAAAGTCGAACCCACTGATCTCAATGACAATAGACTACTTCCATAAAGCCCTGCATGCAACACGGCGCGCGTTGCACTCTGGGAACTAGTTGGCCAGGGAGGAGGGAGGCATGGTTTCGGTTTCGATCGACACGTCGACAAGAGATCGTTTTCTGGTCCCGAAAGCGTCATTTTTGGTCTCTAAACTAACCTAAATTGCCAGACCTCGAAGCTTTAGCACAAGCCCGAGACGTATAGCTTGTCTTAACACATGCTTGTTGTATTTTTGTACTTCAGCCCTCCTCTTAGCGTTCCAATCGAGGTATATGTGGACGAGCTAGTGCTGGGAATCTCGACGCTGCGAAGCTCGGGGATCTTGCTTGTGTACGAATCAACAAGCTATAGCAACCAATTAGTACGCATACATCGAGCTCGCGCCTTTACATTAGTGTTGTTGGTCAGGAAGTTTGTTTGTTTTGCGCATCCATAGACGAAATATTACCTTTTGCAATTACTGTTTTTCTTAATATGCCTGAGTATGCGAGGTAAACCTCGGAGGCGCCATTGAAAAGCTCAATTTTAACACACTTCTTATCTCTTATCTGTACTGACCCGCAGCACTGCACGAAGTGAAGTCCCCACCCCCTTGCTTTCCACTAATATTCAACATCGCGTATGCGCATAGAGTTATCCTGCAATTATATAGGCAAATTCGCGCATACAGACCGTTTTAAGAAAGCAAAAGTCGAGCACTTGTGCGAAGAATGCCGCACCGTTCGCCGGAAGTGCGCCGGACGGGCTTGAACCCGTATTCGCACCGCACAGGGGTTCACGCTCGTCCGGCGCACGGTGCGACATTCTTCACAGAAGTGCTCGAACGAATACAAAGCGCGTTTGAGGGTTCCTAATGGCCATAATATTTGTTATGTGTTTGTTTTCTTTCTGCCTGAGTATGCCGAGATAATTTCAGACACACCGTTCAGGCACAGATCTTGAGCGTCAGTAAAAACTCGTGCAAAAAGGCTTAGCGAGGAGTAGGGGACGCTTGTTAGGGCCTCCGTCGTAGCTAGCCGATCTCAGCGTTTGCAAAAAGTTAATCTTCTATCAGCATAAAATTTTAGTGGGAGATATATGATGACACGAGGAAGACATCATAGTAATTTTGTGCAGTAGTGAGGTCGAATTTATTGCGTTTCTTTAAAAGGTTATGCGTAAACGCTGGGCTCAACTTTGATACCCTGTGAGGATACGGCTTGCTTTTCGCCCAAAGAAGTAACAAAAAACGGACGTTTGGCAAAAAAAAAAAAAAAAAATACGTGTAAGGCTTTATATGAACAAATTTCAGTTCTAGTTCACTGGTACTGGACGGGATTATTGAAATTGAGCTCAAACATGCACTCGTGGGGTGAGGTGACTAAGCCACGACTTACTACGTTCGCATACGTACGCAAAATATCCGGTGTTTCGGGAACCAAGGAAAGTGCCCCGGTCTTCGTTTTGTATCGCTCGAGAATGAGTGTATTATAGGTTGGTGAAAAGTCAGATAACCGAAAACGCAAGCAGCGCGTTCGGTCGCGGCGTGATAGCATGAGATGAGGCTGCTCAGTCGAAACCGAAACTGAGTGGCCAACTAGTTCCCAGAGTGCATTGCGCGGTATTTCGCCGTGGTGGGGCGCGTCGGTTTTGGAAGTAGTCCATTGCTGGATCGCGCTTGCCGCTCCCGCAAGTGAAGCCACCGGACTTCACTCGCTTGGGATACGATTTGCCGTTTTTGCTAGCCTTTGCTGCGGTTTTCCAGCGTGCTGTAGACACGTTTTCTACTCGTTCGTCGTCATTCGCCGAAGAAGTTTTTTGAGACTCTGTGTATTGTTGAGACTTGCCGTTGTGAACACGTGGAAAATTTTACGAAAGTGCAGTGTCGCAGGAAAAAGGCACAACGCGTCGAAACGAAGGGCTGGCGGCGTGTTCAAAGCGTCCTTGGCACGCCGAAGTGCCGTGTCTCTGTGCCTTCGCGCGCTTGGATACCGACCAAGAACCGACGCCGTGTGAATGTGTTCAGCGAGTGCAATGTGCGTGAAGCCGTATCAAAAGGTACAACTCGTCGAAAACGTGTCGCCGGTGTCGCGGCGTGATCAAAGCTTCCTTCGCACGCCGAGTGATGCATCTTTGTGCCTTCGCACGCTTGGATACCGGTCAAGAATTGACGCCGCGCCAAAGTTCTGAACGTGTGTCGCGCGTAGATGCCTTTAGATCATTTTGTATATATCGGCCACGGAGTTCTGGATCGTCCAGCTGTTCCGGTGAGTTGCTATCAATAAAAGGGGGAGATCTGTACGTGTTCTTATGTATTATATTAACCATGGCTATGTCCCAAAATCTACTCTAATAGATTCCGTGGGAGCACGAATAGGGCAACGTTGTGGAGCCAGGGGGTTTTCGAAAGCAAAAGTACAAGACGGCGAGAATGAAAATCTTTGAAGCGCGGCCGATATGGTCGTGTGCAATCTGCTGACCAATTACAATTAGGCGAGCCGCGCTCAAACGTCAAGTGCAATTAAGTAGGTTGATAATAAGCCAGCACTGATCAGTGATGAGCTGTTGTGCACGGTATTGTGTAAATCGTCTAAGGACGAAAAAAAGACGTACCTTCCCCCCAGCTTCCGTCGCTAGTGGACGCTGGATTAAGCTCGTTCCTAAACCGCGAGGGGAAAAGACGCTGATCCAGAGGCACGAACAGCTTCACGCACATTGCACTCGCTAAACACATACACACGGCGTCGGTTCTTGGTCGGTATCCAAGCGTGCGAAGGCACAGAGACACGGCACTTCGGCGTGCCAAGGAAGCTTTGAACACGCCGCCAGCCCTTCCTTTCGACGCGTTGTGCCTTTTTCCTGCGACACTGCACTTTTGTAAAATTTTCCACGTGTTCACAACGGCAAGTCTCAACAATACACAGAGTCTTCAAAAAACTTCTTCGGCGAATGACGACGAACGAGTAGAAAACGTGTCTACAGCACGCTGGAAAACCGCAGCAAAGGCTAGCAAAAACGGCAAATCGTATCCCAAGCGAGTGAAGTCCGGTGGCTTCACTTGCGCTGCAGCGAACAAGCGGGGAAGCGCGATCCAGCAATTGTCATAGAGATCAGTTGTTGACGCCACTGATCTCAATGACAATTGCTGGATCGCGCTTGCCGCTCCCGCAAGTGAAGCCACCGGGCGTCACTCGCTTGGGATACGATTTGCCGTTTTTGCTAGCCTTTGCTGCGGTTTTCCAGCGTGCTGACGACACGTTTTCTACTCGTTCGTCGTCATTCGCCGAAGAAGTTTTTTGAAGACTCTGTGTATTGTTGAGACTTTCCGTTGTGAACACGTGGAAAATTTTACGAAAGTGCAGTGTCGCAGGAAAAAGGCACAACGCGTCGAAAGGAAGGGCTGGCGGCGTGTTCAAAGCATCCTTGGCACGCCGAAGTGCCGTGTCTCTGTGCCTTCGCGCGCTTGGATACCGACCAAGAACCGACGCCGTGTGAATGTGTTTAGCGAGTGCAATGTGCGTGAAGCCGCATCAAAAGGTACAACTCGTCGAAAACGTGTCGCCGGTGTCCCGGCGTGATCAAAGCTTCCTTGGCACGCCGAGTGATGCATCTTTGTGCCTTCGCACGCTTGGATACCGGTCAAGAATTGACGCCGCGCCAAAGTTCTGAACGTGTGTCGCGCGTAGATGCCTTTAGATCATTTATATATATCGGCCACGGAGTTCTGGATCGTCCAGCTGTTCCGGTGAGTTGCTATCAATAAAAGGGGGAGATCTGTACGTATTCTTATGTACTATATTAACCATGGCTATCTCCCAAATCTACTCTAATAGATTCCGTGGGAGCACGAATAGGGCAACGTTGTACGTGGAGCCAGGGGGGTTTTCGAAAGCAAAAGTACAAGACGGCGAGAATGAAAATCTTTGAAGCGCGGCCGATATGGTCGTGTGCAATCTGTTGACCAATTACAATTAGGCGAGTCGCGTAGGTTGATAATAAGCCAGCACTGATCAGTGATGAGGAGCTGTTGTGCACGGTATTGTGTAAATCGTCTAAGGACGAAAAAAAGACGTACCTTCTCCCCATCTTCCGTCGCTAGTGGACGCTGGATTAAGCTCGTTCCTAAACCGCGAGGGGAAAAGACGCTGATCCAGAGGCACGAACAGCTTCACGCACATTGCACTCGCTGAACACATACACACGGCGTCGGTTCTTGGTCGGTATCCAAGCGTGCGAAGGCACAGAGACACGGCACTTCGGCGTGCCAAGGATGCTTTGAACACGCCGCCACCCCTTCCTTTCGACGCGTTGTGCCTTTTTCCTGCGACACTGCACTTTCGTAAAATTTTCCACGTGTTCACAACGGAAAGTCTCAACAATACACAGAGTCTTCAAAAAAACTTCTTCGGCGAATGACGACGAACGAGTAGAAAACGTGTCGTCAGCACGCTGGAAAACCGCAGCAAAGGCTAGCAAAAACGGC